CGGCGCAATGGTGTGGCCCATCCACCAGCCGCAGGTCAACTGAGCTGGAGTTGTCTGGTTTTGTGGAGAGAGAAATAGATGGGCACATGGCTGGAGGGCACCCCCATATCCCTGGACACCCCTCCTGCCAGCATCTCTGGGCCACCCCCTACCTTCAGCGCCCCGCGTGCCTCCAGGGAGGAGCAGGACAGGGCCAGCATTGGGGCGTTGGTAGCACTGAATACAAAAGGGATTGATGTGGCCGGGTGCTGCCATTTTACCAGGGGAACAAAACCCTGCATGATGCCTGACTGCAAGGTGCTGCAGGCTGCCCCAGGATCATAGACTCACTGAACAGTTTGGGTTGGAAGGGACCTTTTAAAGACCATCTAGTCCAACTCCCTTTCCATGGTACGTCTTCCACTAGAGCAGGTTGCTTAAAGCCCCATCCAACCAGGCTTTGAATACTTCCAGGATGGACTCAGAATGGTTTGAGCTGGAAGGGATCTTCAAAGATCACCTAGTCCAACCTCCTGCCAGTGGCAGGGACATCTTCCACTAGATCAGGGTCTTGAAGCCCCATTCAGCCGGACCTTGAACACTTCCAATGATGGGGCTTCTCTGGGCAACCTGTTTCAGTGTCTCAACACCCTCATCATAAAACATTTCTTCTTTACGTACAATCTAAATTTACACTCTTAGTTTAAAACTATTGCCCCGTGTGCTGTCACTACAGGCCTTGGTAAAAAGTCTCTCTCTTTCTTATAAGCCCCCTTTAAGCACTGGAAGGCCGCTATAAGGTCTCCCTGGAGTCTTCTCTTCTCCAGGCTGAATAACCCCAACGCTCAGCCTTTCTCCATAGGAGAGGTGTTCCAGCCCTCTGACCATTTTTGTGGCCTCCTCTGGACCTGCTCTAACATGTCCATGTCCTTCTTGTGCTGGGGACCCCAGAGCTGAGCACGGTACTCCGGGTGGGGTCTCACCAGAGCAGACTAGCGGGGGAGAATCATCTCCCTTGACCTGCTGGCCATGCTTCTTTGAATGCTGCCCAGGGTGCAATTCACATTTTGGGCTGCGAGTTCACATTGCTGGCTCAACTGTCCAACTTGTCACCCACCAGGGTCCCCATCCCTTTTCTGCAGAGCTGCTCTTCAAACCCTTCATACCCCAGTCTGTACTGATACTGGGGATTTCCTCAACTCAGGTGCAGGACCTTGCACTTGGCCTTGAGGTGAAGGTCCAGGAGATACACGTGGGTGAGAACTGCAGGAAGCCCCTACACCAGCCCTGCACATGACATCTCCCCTGAAAGGGGCCAGCTGTGTGCCCCTGGGTACCAGCAGGAGCTCTGCTTCCAGCCAGCCCCATCCCGGCTCTCACCTGAGCACACCACGCCGGCATCCTCCCCATGGTGGCAGTTGTGGACACCCCACATCTTGGCTTGGCACTCGGAGAAGTCAGTTTCCTTCCCAGTGCAGCTCACGTCGTCTAGCCAGATGGGGCCGGTCCCCCACCCAAACCGAGCTGAGCTGGGGGCCGAGAGGGCCACCCCGCAGCCCAGCTGCCGGCAGACCACCGCTGCGTCGCTCAGGTCCCAGCTGTCATCACAGACGGTCCCCCACTTGTTGTTATAAAACACCTCAACCCTCCCGGCGCACTTGCTCAAACCACCCACCAGGCGAAGCCTGGGGTTGAGGTCGATCTCTGAGCCTGAAAAATATCCCAAAATGGGCATTATTAGAGATATGCTTGTGCCTCTTAACATCTGCTGGGTTGGAGCGGGCAGGACATTTCCCACAACAGGTCTGGGTGGTGTTGCTGCAGTGAGTTTGTACGTCCCTTGCCCTTTATCAGGGACTTGCAGCAAAGCGAGCACAGGGATTTTTGCAGGGTAGAAAGAACTGCAGAAGATCTCTTCCACCAGTTACACCCTGAGGGTGGTTGCACTCTGGTTCAGAGATCAGGACAGGAGAGAGCACACATCTCCACCTGAGGGATGCCATGCTGGGAAGAAGGGATGCCCAAGGGTCCTTCCCAGTGTTTCTCTGTGTTTTCCTTCGTTTCCCCCTTGCTTGGAAGCTGCATCACCTAGTTCACCTGGTGCTACACACTTCTTGCCCTATAGGAAATGGCAAAGGTTCTTTTAATGGTTGTCCCTGTTCTGACTGCCTCTGACTGCTACATTGACCTGTCCATGGAGGTTGACCTTCTAAGGCCAAGGCTAGACTGGTAACAGCTAGCTCAAAAGTGTGTATCACATGAAAACAGCTGGTTCCATTTCATCTTTCTGCATTTATCTGTGCATCCTGGCATTTTACAGTGCTGGCAGCACAAGTCACTCTGCCTGCTTTTGAGCTGGGGCAGGGTGCTGTTGCATCTGCTGCCACTCAAGCAGCACCCATGCACCCTCCAGCTACTGCTCCCAAAGGGTGCAGGTGCTTCACCCCATGAAAACATCTTGGATACCTCCAGTGGTACCAGACACTGAGGCATGTCTTAAGCCATGCTGCTTTTTTCTCAGTGTATCATCCCATGTGTCTGAACACTGCTATTTTACTGCCCTTTCTAGTGATGTGGGCAATTTGTTGGCCAGCTTGTTCCCAAACTGTTCCCAGCCTTCAGAAGGATAGGGCTTGGTCTGTCTTACAAAGAAAACACGTGGTGAGGGTTACCTGAGCACACAACGCTGGCATCTTCCACATGGTTACATGCATGGTGTCCCCAAGGCTTGACTGGGCATTCAGCGAGGGTGGCTTCTGTTCCAAGGCAACTCACCCCATCTAGCCAGATGGGGCCAAGTCCTTCCCCAAAACCAGATAAACCTGGGGCTAACACGGCTGTCCCACAGCCCAGCTGCCGACACACCACGGCTGCGTCGTTCAGGTCCCAGCCATCATCGCAGATGGTCCCCCACTGCTGGTTGTGAAAGACCTCCACCCTCCCAGCACAGCGGTGAGGGCCATTCACCAGCTGCAGGGCTTCTGAGCTACCCGGGTCCAAATCTAAAAACAGAATCAGAGGACAATAAATCCTGTCCAGAAATGCCTGCCCATCAAGTGGCTGGAAATGCAGTGGACCTCCCCTTGCAAGGAGTCTTGCAAGGCCTCCACCAGCATATAGCATTTCTGCTACTGATGCACCCTGGGTGTGCATGCATGAGCACCCTTTGGGACAAGCCTGATAGGACCATGCCCAGTAGATTTTGAACTTGGCCAAGTTACCAAGGAGCTCCCACGATGTGAATATCCTCATGAGGACAAGCAGGTAAGGAGACACCAAGTGCATCGTGCACCTGAGCAAGGAATAGCCTAGTGAAGAGAAGGGACGCCCTGAGGACTAGATGCTGTGTGGTAGCATGGATCAAAAAAAAACAAAACAAAACACCACAGTGGCAGCTGCAACCCTGGTGTGCCAGGTCTCTTTACGTGTGGTGGAAAGCCTGTTTTATAGGCTTGAGATTTCTGGGAATCCCAGGCTGGGGTTTTCCAAGTACTTTTCTGGAGGGAAGCCAGTGGCGGGTAGACCTCAAAACAGAAAATGCCTTGTTCTTCCTAGTGCAACCACAGGAATAAGGGCTGGTTGAGCCAGGACAAGGAGGAGCTGGATGGGCGAATTTGGTCAGACTGCACAGCCTCCCCCAGGGGAGGACTGATCCTCAACTCACCGCCACTGACCTGTGGCCGCAGAGCACATGACGCCTGCGTGCCCCCTTGACTTGCAGCTCTTGGCGCCCCAGAGCTTGACCTTGCAATCAAAGAGGGCCCCCTCTGTCCCGGTGCACTCCACGGCATCCACCCAGATCAGACCATCTCCTGTCCCAAACCGGGTAGTCCCTGCAGCCGAGCGTGCTGCACCGCAGCCCAGCTGCCGACACACCACGTGGGCTTCAGCCAGGTCCCAGCCATCGGTGCAGATGCCCCCCCAGCGCTGATCATGAAACACTTCAACTCTCCCGGAGCATGGGTCTGAGCTGTTCACCAGGCGGAGGCTTCCGAGGTCAGAAATGCCTGATCCTGCAACATCAGGGAGCATACACACGTTAAGGAGATGATGCTTTCTGTCCCATGAAACCTCTGGCTGCCAACAATGGGTTTACACCAGAGGCTGAGTAGCACTGGGGGGTCAAGGATGCTTTCGTGGCAACACTTTGGGTCAAGGTTGATCTTGTGATGACAGAGAGGGCAGACCTTTGAAGTGTGGTGTAAACTGGGCCAAGTGATCTCCAAGGCTTCATTGGCATGGGCTTGACTAGACTATAGTCAAGAGACCTTATATAGTTTGCCCTCCTAAAGCAGACACATTGGGCAGGGTCCAGTCACCAAGATGTAGACATCCTTGTGCCATTTGGGACTTCTGGGATACCTCCACTGCCCTCCAGCTGCTGCTCCTGAAGGGCACAGGTTTTTCTGTAGGATCTATTAGCCCAGCTAGGGTGAGATAGCTACCTTCCCATGATGGGGCAACTGAATTCAATGCTGGCCATCTCGGTCAGTGACTCCCGGATCTTGAGCAAAGTCCATCCTGATATTAAGCAACCTGGTTGCAAGCCCGTGACCCCAGATTCTTAACAATCACTAAAAAGGGCTACGGGGTTACTCTGGCAGAAAGTCAGAGCTGGAGAGGAGAGAGAGGGATGGGAGATGGGCTCATGCAGCTCAGCATCACAGGGTACATCTACCATGGATCAAGGAAAGGTGTCAGAGAGTCCTCCCTGACTATAATGGAAGAAGACTCATTTGTACTGCAGTCTGCCCTGCTGTGAAGAAGTAGGTGGCTGTGTTGTAATTTGCTTGATGGGAATGGTCTCTGGCCTGTGATAACTGCCAGGATTTGTGGTAAATAACATCAGCCAAAAGCATGCTGGAGACCATATTTTTAGCAATAGCCATGTAAATGGGCAAGGTGTTTGTTTTTCTTGGAATTTAATGTCTGTGTACATCTGCCCTCTTCCACCAGGATGGACCATGAGAGGCTGACTTCAGATGAAAGAGTCTCCAGGCTGGCTGCAAGCTCTTTCTGCATCACAAGACCTTGCACTCATAGGGGAAAGGAGAGTCAGACTCCAGTGCAGGAGGACCATGGTAAGTTTTGCCATGGTGCTCCCAATGCCATGACAAATGATGGTTACCTGAGCACACCACGCTGGCATCTTCTCCATGCTCGCATCCATGGACACCCCAGCCCTTGGCTCTGCATTCGGAGAGGGCTGCCTCAGTCCCCATGCAGCGCACATCGTCCAGCCAGATGGGTCCCTGTCCCTCCCCGAAGTGAGCCCGCCGTGGAGCCGATATCACCATCCCACAGTCCAGCTGCTGGCACACCACTTTGGCATCCGCGAAGTCCCAGCTGTCATCACACACCGTCCCCCATTTCTCATTGTGAAACACCTCAACCCTCCCGGCACAGCGACCTGGGCCATCCACCAGCCGGACTGGGGCGAAGCTGGAAACATCTGAGCCTGCAAACAGGCAGGGAGATGCTCAGAGCATCCAGCCCCTTCATGGGAGGAGGAAGGACCTTGCATTTTGGTGCTGCTTGGTCACATCTCCTCTGAACCCATAACATCTCATCCCCACCTCATGGAGGAACTTCTCAAAGGGTTTAGGGGTACTTGACTCAGCAGGAAGTGGGTTGAAGCTGGCACCTTGCTCCCAAGTGGGATGGGGGAAATTACCAGTGCATCCTGACCCGCTACTGGTGCTGGAGTGATACCCACCTGAGCATACCACGCTGGCATGCTTTCCATGGCCACAGCTGCTCTCTCCCCATGGGCTCGCTTGGCATTTCGTAAGGGCTGGCTCTGTCCCCTGGCAGTTCACATTGTCCAGCCAGATGCGTGAGGGCCCAGCACCAAAGTCCACCCCCTCCAATGCTGGCAGTGCCGTCCCACAGCCCAGCTGCTGGCACACGACCTTGGCGTCCTGCTTATCCCAGCCATTGTTGCAGACGGCTCCCCACTCCTCCTGGTGAAGCACCTCGACTCTGCCAGTGCAGCGGTGTGAGCCATTTGCCAGCCGGAGATGAGCTGGCTCAGGGATGATTGAGTCTGCAAACACCCGAGAGAGGTATTAATGCCTTCAGACAGTCACCAGTTTCCCTCCATGCTTATCCTATTGCACTTAAGCTCCCTGTCTCTCTTCAAGCTGCCAAAAGGCACAGAGGAGGGTAGCACAGGAAGGGTGAAACCCAAAACTCTCCTCAGGATAACCCTCCACCAGAGCATCTCCCTACAGGTGGTGGTCCACACAGGTCCTGCATCCTCCTGGACCCCTGCCTCACTCCCTGCAAGAACTGCTTGCCAGGCAGGTTCCTTTTGATGAGCTTCTCTGCAATTAGTTGGTCTTGTTGTTGGAGCTGGAGGCTTCTCAGAGGGGTGGGAAACAGGGGTTTCTATAGGAACGACTCCCACCGCCTTAAATAAACACCTTGGAATGGGAAGAGCAGCCCTCCAATGGGACCACCAGGTGCAGGGAGGGTCCAGGAAAACCCCACTGGCTGCTGATGCTGACCCCCAGTCTTACCTAGGGGTGCAGACCTACCATCACGACCCCCCCGCTTCCTACCACCTTGTGTGGAGTGATGCCAAAGGAACATTGGTCACCTGAGCAAACAACGCCAGCATCTTCCCCATGGTAGCAATTATTGATGCCCCACGGTCGGGCCCGGCAGGCAGACAGCATGTTCTCCATCCCAGTGCAATTCGTCTCATCCATCCAGATGATGCCGTCCCCACGCCCAAACTGACCCCCCCCGGGGGCTGACAGCGCTCGCCCACAGTCCAGCTGCCGGCAGACGACCTCGGCATCCAGCAGGTCCCAGTTGTCATCACACACGGTCCCCCACTGCTTGTTATGGAACACCTCAACCCTGCCAGCACAGCGGCTGCCATAGTTCACCAGACGGACCTGGTCGCCCTCTAAATTACCTAAAAGAGGGAAATATGGGGAACGGCTGGCATGCTGTGACCCCTGGGTAAGGAAAACAGCCCTGGTACCTTCTCAAGTCTGAGTGTTCCACCAAGTGCTGCAGGCATGTCTAATCACCACAAAAAATGGATCTGGCTGATCCCCAGGGTCTGCTGGCTAAGGGGCGAGAGGATGCAAGCTGCACTGCAGCAGCATCCCACCTGCTCGCATCGGCACTGACCCCTCCAGGAGGATGCACAAAATTTTTCCAGCCCTCCAGACGCCCCATGACACCCGGTGATGGAAACACCCACAAAGAGGACATGTTGTCCAGGGCTGCTTGGAGAGGCAGAAAATCAAGGTGATGAACCAAGACCCATCAGTTCTCATGCCACGTCAGTGTCGAGGGGATTACCTGCACACACCACTCCAGCTTCTCTCCCATGATGACAAGTGCTGTTGCCCCAGGACTTTGTCTTGCATGCAGAGAGAGCAGTCTCTGTGCCCACACAGCTCACGCTGTTGGGCCACATTTGCCGGGGTCCTTGCCCAAAATGTGACCTGCCAGCTGCCGACAGTGCTCTCCCGCAGCCCAGTTGCCTGCACACCACTCGTGCCTCGGCCAGACTCCAGCCCTCGTCACAAAAGGCTGCCCAGGTGCCATTGTGGATGACCTCCACCCTGCCTTCACAGTGCGTCGAACCGTTGGCCAGGCGGAGCTCGGTGGCCATGGACACCCCTGAAGCTGCCAACAACATGCAAAGATAAGTGCACCGAGAGAGCCGTGGCTGTTTCTGCCCCAGCCTGAGCATCCTCTGTGTGCAGTGAGTGCCCAAGCTGGAGACTGAGTGCCTGCAATGCTCAGCATCCTCTTAAAAGTGAATTTTGAGGGGTGGCTTTGCAAAGGAGATTTATTGGAAAGACACTTTATTGCAAAGTCACCTTATCGCAAAGTCACTGTGTCGCAAAGACACCTTACTGCAGTCACATTATCATAGAATCATAGAATGGTTTGAGTTGAAAGGGACCTTTGAAGGTCATCTAGTCCAACCCCCCTGCCATAAGCAGGGACGTCTTCAACTAGATCAGCTTGCTCAAAGCCCCATCCAACCTGACCTTGAATGTTTCCAGGGATGGGGCATCTACCACCTCTCTGGTCAACCTGTTCCAGTGTTTCACCACCCTCATCATAAAGAAGTTCTTCTTTATATCTAGTCTGAATCTACCCTCTTTTAGTTTAAAACCATTACCACTTGTCCTATCGCATCAGGGCCTATGAAAAGGTCTGTCCTCATCTTACTTTTAAGCCCCTTCTAAGTATTTAAAGGCTGCAAGAAATTGTTCTCAGAGCCTTCTCTTCCCCAGGCTGAACAACCCCAAAACTCTCAGCCTGTCCTCATAGGAGAGGTCCTCCACCCCTCTGATCATTTTGTGGCCTCCTTTGGACCCTCTCCAACAGCTCCATGTCTTTTCTGTACTGATGACCCCAGAGTTGGATGCAGAGCTGGGTGCATGGGTCTCATGAGAACAGAGTAGAGGGGGAGAATCATCTCCCTCAACCTGCTGGCCACACTTTTCTTGACGCAGCCCAGGATACAGTTGGCTTTCTGGGCTGCGAGCTCACATTGCTGGCTCACATCCAGCTTTTCATCCACCAGTACCCTGAAGTCCTTCTCTGCAGAGCTGCTCTTGATCCCTTCACGCTCCAGCCTGTACTGATACTGGGGGTTGGCCCTGCCCAGGTGCAGGAGCTTTTTGCAAAGGCACTTTATTGCAAAGTCACCTTATTGCAAAGGCACTTTGCTGCTCTCTGCCTTGCAGGCCAAGTTAAAGAGCTGAGCTACACACACATCAAAAACTCCATCAGAAGGCCTGCATTGCAGGTGATGGGAGGGACAGACCTGGCCCGGCTGGATGGGCAGGAACTGGGGAGGGTGAGTTATGCCTGCAGAAAGTTTTGCTTGGTGCAGCCTAGTTGCCCCCAAGGTAAACCAGGCTCTGGGGTAGGTCCTTGGTAATTCAATCACGTGACTGAAAATGAATGGCCCTTTGCTGTTCCTGCACCTTAGCACTGGATCCACAGCAGCAGGAGGTGGGTGAAGGCTTTGCAGGGCCACTTTTCCACCTGGATGCTGCAGGTGCTCCCCAGAGTTGTAAAGGGGATGCCGGGGGCAAGCACCATGGGGGGATGCAGGAGCCATTCCATGATCCCTTAGGAAACCCTGAAAGTATGATGTTGACCCCTCATGCCCCTCGGGGTGAGTTACCTGAACATATCACTCCAGCATCCTCCCCGTGGAAGCAGTTGTTGTCCCCCCATGCGCTGGCCCGGCAGTTGAAGATGGTGTCCTCAGTGCCAGTGCAGTTTACCTCGTCCAACCAGATGGGATCGTGGCCCCTCCCAAAGCGAGCCCCACTGGTGGCTGACAGCGCTGTGCCGCATCCCAGCTGGCGGCAGACCACCGCCGCATCCGCCAGGTCCCAGCCGTCATCGCAGACCGTCCCCCACATGTGATTGTGAAGCACCTCCACCCTCCCGGCGCAGCGGTTGGGGCCATTGAGCAGCTGGAGGGTGCCCAGGGAGGTGATGCTGGAGTCTGCAGGTACCCCAAGAGGACAATTGGAGAAGGGTTGTGCAGCCCTGCTGGTAGATCAGGAAGGGATGCAGGGGTGGAGGTGGTGCACAGCCAGATGGCTGCTGTCCTGGGCTACCTGAGCACTCAACGCTGGCGTCCTCTACGTGGTAACAGTTGTGTTCCCCCCATGGCCTGGCTCGGCATTCAGACAGGTCCCTTTCCTCTCCGGTGCAGTTGACCTCATCCAACCAGATCTGTCCTGTCCCTTCTCCGTACCGAGCTCCTGGTGCCACTGACAGCACTGTCCCACAGCCCAGCTGCCGGCACACGACCCGGCCCTCAGGGGAACCCCAGCCATCGTCGCACACTGTCCCCCACGTCCCATTGTGGAGTACCTCCACCCGCCCGGCACATCGGCCGGGGCCACCCACCAGGCGAAGGAACCCCCCTGGGATCTCAGCAGCTGCGCCTGCAAAGCCAGGATAGGAAAGAGGAGGGGAGGTGAAATCCTGGGCGTGAATAGAGCTCAGCTGATCATATATCTAAGATAGTTACTGCCTCCCAAAAAGGGTTTCAGAGGTGGTGTTGACCATCCCAGGCCTGCTCCGGGCATCGCAGATGGCTCTGGGGAGCTGTAGTCAACTGAGACCCATCTCTGCATCTAAACCCTGAATTTAATCATCTTAACCTCAGTGTGGATCCCACACCCCAGGAGCCCTTTTCTTGCTCATGTAACAGGCACAAAAAAGTGGGTATTTGAGCTCAGGCATGTTTTCGTACGGGCAGCCAGCAGCAAAGATGGAGCTTTGCCATCAAGAGTGGGTAATGCCTTGGGGTTCAGCTGCATGGCAAGTTTGTGGGAATGGGTGGAAAAGTGCTTGAGCTAAGGGTATTGGCAATGTGCAAGACCCACAGCGTGACGCTGCCACTGGTCCCATAGGCACGCTTTTGCAAGAGAGCTAACCAAAGGGAGATGGTGCAGAAGGAGACGTAGCTGAACGTTAGTCACGTGGAGAGCTCAACTGGGTCAGCAGAAAAAAAGATCAAGAGGGATATGATTGCAGTGTGTAAATAAGCTTGTTGACCGTGGATAATGATTTCTGAAGTGCTCAGGCATTGATCTGTGCACGGGTCTGACCATCAGCGAGCAAGGGGCCAGATATAGCGCTTGGGAAGTCATAGGGCCCAGAAAGAGACAAAAACAGGTTAAAAATCACATCCCTGAGTCACTCAAATACAAACAGCATCTGGACAGCTGTGGCACACTGCATGCAGGTGTGCCCAGATTAACTCCTTCATGCAGGCTGCGCAGCAGGGAGCAGTAAAGCATCTTTGCAATCAAGTGTCTTTGCAATAAACCCCTTTGCAAACCCCCCCCTTAAAATTCACTTCTACAAGGAGGCTATTGGGGGATGCACTGGGGGCACTTCTTCTACAGTTTGCACGTTCTCCTGTCCCCAGGGTAAGAGCACAGTCCTGACGATGGCTGGCTCTTCTCTTTCACCCTTTCCCTGTGCACTTTTTTGCTCTCCTTCCTTATTTTTACTAGGATCATCGAGGCTACCCTGTGATAATCAATAAATCAACCCTGAAGCTGAGACTTAGCCAATCTTACTGATAGATTTCTTGGCATGTTTCTTTCAATCACTGCCTGGTCACATGTGCATTGGCTGCGCTTGAGTGGACAAGTCCCAGCCGAGATGTCTCCAGTCAGCCAGGAGATACTGAATGTTGAAGAGGCAAACACTCTACTGAATTTTCCAGGAGCAGAATTAAAAAAAAAAAAAAAAAAAAAAAAATGTGGGAAGATTGTACTGTAAATGAATAGATCACCAAAGAAGGAGGAAACCCAAGGACACAAGTGAGTTAAGGCAAAATTTTAGTTCCAAGAGGCAGTGGTACAAACTGGCCTTAGCCGCTAATCAGCCTGGAAATGAAAATGAAATCTCTACCAGCTGGGAAAGCACATTCCTAATCTTGCTCACTTCAAACCTGATTAGATGAGTGTTTCTGCTTGTGCCCTTGGTAAATGTGAAACAGGACCAAAAAGGTTTCCCAAATCAAATAATCAGCTTCTGCTCTGAGCCTGGCCATCTTGGGCAAAGCCCTGAGCCCTTTCTTAACCATTTCCAAAGCAGAGCTGCCGTTGAACCATCGGCATGATATTGCTCTTGCAGCAGAGCTCTTTCCCATCCTTGCACCAACGTCTGAGAGCAAACCATGTCTGTAGAGAAGGGACCTGTAGGGTCTGCACCTTCCTTACGGCTCCACCCGAGCATGAGAAGGGACATGTCTCTTGCCGGCATCTTGCCTGTCTGCCCTGTTAGCCCAGAAAGGATTCACTTCCTTGTGCTGCACATTCATGAGACACCCAGCCCTGTCCTGGCAATGTGGGTCCCTACTTGTTCACCTCTCCATCATACAGGGAGCCACCCCTGTTAATGCACACTGCTGGTGGGTTTGGCCAAGCCTCCTCAGTCCTGTAATACCATGAGTTTGCCATGTACGGTCCAGGATAAGCCAAGATTAAAGCAGGGCAGGAGGCTGTGGCCAGCTGGGAGACAGCTTCAGGATCAGGCATGCTTCCCTCCACTCTTGTAATGATCACAAGCCTTTAATTATGGGGCACAAGCCTTTGAGTATGGGGCAAAACCATGTGTGCAGAAGTAGACCTGCAATGCATGGCTCTTGGAGTGCAGCAGAGCTAGCTGAGCTCCTGACTTCATGTAAAAAGCCTTTCACCTGCCTCCAAAGCCATTCATAAGCCATTCCCCCCTACCCCGGGCCCCCAGGTGAAGCCCAGGACCACTGACCAGCCTCTGCTGTGCTCCACCCAGTGCTAGCTGAGCAGGCTGGAGGAGCTGACATGGTTGATGGGCTCCCTGCAGTTATCAGCAAAGCGAATGCCACTCACCCCAAAGGCACACCATCAAGACGAGGGTTCCTGTGCTCTTGGCCCCACCACAGGTGGGTTGGTTTCTGTCCCTGGGGTGTCTGGATGAGGGATGGAGACCACCCAGCACCCCCATGTTTGCAGCCTAGCCACAGGCTGCAGGTTGGAGTAGATTGTCCTTGTGAGAGATGCCAGCTGAGCCCAGTGTCCCACTGGCCAACTGGGAGGGCAGACTGGGATTTCTGCAGTGACTCCTCCTCTTCCTCTTCCCTGCTCCCCCCTGGGAGTTTCACCTCCTGGGAAGCTCTGCCAGGATTTGACGTGCTGCCCCATGCAGTGGCCATTCTTGTCATCGGGTTGCGAAACAGCGAACGGTTCCAGGAAAGCATGTGGCAAACAAAACCCTCTCCACACTCAGGTCCCATCTCATACATGCCAGCCCCTGTGGACACCATGCCTGGCCTGATGCATACTAGTACAAGATACCTACTTTCAACAAGATAAATCAAGCCTTTATACACAGAACTGCAGAAATAGAGCTACATCAGCTAATTAGGAAGTGTCTCATTGGGTTTGGGGGCATAAGGGACCATCTGCTGCAAGAAAATGGGTCTATAACGGCTGGAAATAGCTTTATTGTGGATGCTGGAGACAGCACCTGCACTGTAGCCATTTGCTATCAGGCGTGTCTGGACACTATCCGTGATGGGAAAGGGTCTCGCACCCCTCTTGCGATGCTTTCAATGGCTCAGTCGAATTTGGAAAATGAGGGGAACTGCCATTTTCTTATCCCACTGTGGCTGCACTTGCAAGACCCCAAAGGGTCCCTTTTGAGTTAGCAGTTTGCTTCCCGATTGCTATTACGCAGATGATGCTCCAGGCATGCTCCTTGCAAATCGCTGCTCCAAGCATGTCCTGAGATGCTGGAAGGATGAAATAGTTTGCTGTCCTCTCATCCCTTTGTGGTGACGTGCTCAAATTGTGTAAGCAAAGGGCTCGAAGGCAGAGCAGCATGACACTGGAAAGAATGAGTTTTGCAAAAGGGTCATCAAATTCACATGACTCATTGCTCCAAATGGGAGGGTTCAGATGAGGATGGGTGCTGTGCTGGTGGTACATTGAAGGTGGGGCTTCCACTGAGCAAAGATGTGGCCCCTACCAGAAACAGGGTGGCTGGTTCTGCCCATGACCGTGCAAAAATAAGAAGCAAAACCAGAGCATGTAATGGGAAGAGGACAGCATGGCCAGGAAGGTCTCAGACTGTTTAACCTGTTCAGCAAAACCTGAGATGAGTAGTAGAGTGGAGAGTAGCTTGCTGCCTGTAGGAAGATCAAACAGGAGAAACCCAAAGCCCAGAGGCATGCAGAGCTAGGGCTGAAGACCAAAAGGGAAAAAAAGGTGCACTGAGCAAAGGCACAAGAATGAGCAGGTGAAAATTAGTTTGGAAATCAGTCAGAACTCATAAAAAGTCCAGCAGCTGGAAAAGGTGACTGTATTCATGTGTACTGAGGCTCAGTGAGCCCAAGGACTTTGTTCCCCTTCTTTGCAAACAACCAGGCTAGCAGCAAAGAGATCCCCAACACTGACTGGCATGGAAACGCTGTGAACTGTCGTTCACAGCTGATGCAACTCTGGGCAAGGATGTTTCTGCTGGGGCTGTTTTCACAGTATGGACAAACAGCCGGTCTGGATGTGAGTCATGGTCCTATGTCCCTTCTGCTCTTTTGAATTTGAGAGCTGTGTCCCGCTGGGACGTCTGAAACCCCTTTTTGAGATACTGCTGTCCCTGCAGAGTACCTCCGCAGAGTAACCCATGGCCTGAGCTGGGATCTATCAGGTGCTGGTCCTGCATTTGGAGCCCTGAAGAGCATCAACTCGTCCCAGCTTTATCAGAACAATCCTCTCCAAACGGTACGCATATTTTGTTGCACAAAACTGGGTCCAAGCTCCTGTTTTCCCCTATTCTGAGGACACTCTATTCAGAGCTAGAAGGAGCCCTGGGCCTTTGATGTGAACTTTGGGCCAGGCAAGGATGGAAGACGAGGTCTGCTGGGGTATCCGGTGGGAAGATGAGAAGGTTCAGGTGCCAGCAGGAGGATGAGAAACCCTGAAGTCCCAGGACTGATGGATGTGCATGGAGGATCAGAAGATGGCCTTGTGGCCACGTGTTGGGGCCACCTGTGGCCACCCGGCCAGGGGGGCTTAGGACAAGTAGCAAGACACAAACGGGTCACAAGCTGCAAGTCGCTGGCTGGGAGGGAAGGAGAGGCTGGACCTGAAGGGCATTGAAATACATGCCATGACTCTTTCATTACGTGAGTCTTCTCCCTGCTGCCTCTTGCACCAACTCTTCCCTTCCATGCCCCTGTGCGGAGCTTGGCTCACAAGGCACACCTTCATCACAACCAGGTCAAGCTTGTGGTCCCTTCATTCCCTCCCCATGGCACTGTGACAGTGCTCTGACCATGGCCACTCCTGGCTCCACCAAAGTGGTGGACGGTTTGGGACTCAGGCCTGACTCCATGGGATGCTCCATTAGGAACGTGAACCTTCCTCGGTGGTGGCCAGGGCTATCTCACCCAACATTAGCAATCCGGAGTCTCCTGTATCTGACGCCATTGTCTACAATCCCTCTATAACCAAGGGGCCTGTTCTTTCATCACTTCACCTTGCCAAGTCACTTCGTGTCCCTCAGTCTGTATCATGCTGCACTCTCGTTCTTTTGGGTTTCAGGGTTTTTACTGGTATTCAAATGTGGATTGAATAAACACAATGGGTGAGGGACTTCTCACCCTGTTCTGGACAAGCTTTTAAGCGGCTTCTTCATCTTGCAAAGGTGGTTGCGTACAGTGCAGGAGAGCACCCTGCTTGCTTGCTCCTGGATCAGGCAGTAATCCTCACTTCCATGGGAGTTTAGGGGAAAAGGTGTGATCCTGTTGGGAATGAGGTGAGGGTGATGGCACTGGGTGCCACTGCAGATGATGCTACAGGGGGTTGTAGGGATTATAGGGTGCTATAGGGCTGGGAATAGGAATTATAGCGGTTATAGGTCTGGGAATAAGAGGAGTCTCTGCAGATGTGTTTAGGATGCTGGAGCCTACTCAGAAGACCATATAGGGGTTATTCTGAGAAGACCTTGCTTGGAGACTGAGGGACTTCATGGTGCTGCATGGAGGAACTGGGACACACAGAGGCTCGGTGCAGTGAGCTGGGGGCTATGGGGCACACAGGGCGAGGGTCTCCGCTCTGCCAGAACAGGGCTCTCTCTGCTGACCAGCGCAGTGACTGCTCTGTTCTTCTTCCACGGAATGGGGTCTTCTCGGGTCTTGAGGGAACCTTGCCTTTGACACCAGGAGCGTGGCTGCCTAAGCCTCGTGTGACGTCCTGGTGTCCTCTGTCTTCTTTATAAGTGGCTCGTCTGCAAAATGAAGGAGCAGGGTGGTGCATGGAAGGTGCAATCTCCAGCCCCAGGTTGGGGTGCATCCAGGCCAGCCAGGAGTGCAGCTAGCTCCACAAGCAGCCCGAGTGCACCACCACACTCTGGTCCTGCTCTTACCTGGGGAGCGTCCAGCCCATCTTCCACACCTTGTCCACAGGTACAGGACCAAGAGGGTCCCGCAGAGCATTGCCCCTGTGCCGAGTAGGCCTGCCAGCACCGAGCAGGACTGTGTGAGGTCTGCGGGAAGAGTGAAGCTCAGAGGGGTCTGGTTGGATGGCCTGACCCTCTCTGCCCCTCTCACCCTTGCCTTCTGTTGCATGTTTTTTGGGACTTGCAACATCCTCCCTCACTGCCCGTTTGGGTGCTGGGCCTGACCCTCAACAGCAGGAGTGACAGATCACCCTCTGCTTCAGGAGGGTGGGTGCATGGCACTCCCCCTTTGGGCTGATGCCAACAGAGCATGTCCACCAGGGATGCTCGGATCTCCATGCCCACTGAGATGCCGTCACCCAGTTGGTCCCACTCTGCTGCTCGGGATAAACAGCCACTGCCCATCTAACATCTCCCAGCAAAAAGGTTTATGGCAACACTTCTGCCTGCCTGGCAGGAGGCCAAGAATGGGATGGAGATAGGAGCCTCTACCCTACCTGCACTGTGTTTGCCCTGCTGCAGGCAGAGCGGGTGACGGGGGATCCCGGTGCTCACCTTCCTGCTCTGCACACACCACAGCGGCTGCCAACCCCTGCCTGCACGGCCCCGGACCCATCCCTCTCTGCTGGCACTCCAGGAGCAGTGACTCGGTTCCCCGGCAGCTCAACCCCTCCAGCAAGCTATGGCTATCCTCCCGGCTGAGCTGGGCTCCGATGGGCGCCGACTGGGCTGGACCACAGCCCAGCTGCCTGCAGACCACCTCGGCTTCCAGCAAGCTCCAGCTGCTGCCGCACACCCCGTGCCAGGTCGCGTTGTAGAGCACCTCCACCCGCCCTGCGCACGGACCAGGACCATCTTTCAACCGCAGCTGCAAGGGGTTCGTGCCTGCAAGGAAGAGCGCAAGGGCGTGAGGTCACCCCTAAGACCCCACATGGTGATGACAGCTTCTGACTTGTTCCTGGGCATTTTTTTCTGCTGCCCTGCTGAAGGCAAGCCACCAGCACCCGTGACCAGCTACAAGGCATGGCTTGCCTTACTCCATTCCCTTGTACAAGATGCCTCAATAAGCAATGTCACCACAGGAGACCCACACACACCTCCCCAGTGGAACTGGACTTCTGCATCCAGGAAAGGTGCACCTGGATTCTGTTTTTTTAAGGAAGGTTTTGCCCATCCCAGGATGCTGGCACTGATGAGTATAACTCCCACCTCAGGCAGCGTGGCATTTTTGATCAATACCAAGCCAATTGTCTGGGTGAAAGCTGACTTCTGCTCTGATGCTGGGGATGGGGAAGAGCGAGCAGAGAGGAGAAAGCCTGGCCCAGCCTTGGGGTAGAACAGCAGCTCCAGCACCCACCAAGCCCCACCTCGGATGGACACCAACCCTCCTGGCTCACCCGCACCAGTCCCTGCAGCCTGGTGTTACCTGAGCACACCACACCAGCATCCTCGCTGTGGCCGCAGTTGTGCTCTCCCCAGGTGCTCAGCTCACACTCGGTGAGGGCAGACTCAGTCCCCAGGCAGTGAACACCGTCCTGCCAGATGGGATCCACTCCTGGCCCGAAATGAGCCGAGCCTGGTGCTGACAGCGCTGTCCCGCAGCCCAGCTGCCTGCACACGACATCAGCATCATGGATGTCCCAGGTGTCATCACACACGGTCCCCCACTTGTGGTCATGAAAGACCTCGACTCTCCCCAGGCAGCTATTTGAGCCATTTACCAGCCGCAGTGGGCGCTGCCCCGAAGTGTCCACGTCTGTGAAGAGAGCAAGGGGCACATTCATGCCTGACCATCATCTGCGGCTCCAGCTGGGCTTTGCAACATGCTGAGCTGTGGGAAAATCAGCACATCCTTCCACTGTGTGCAGCCTCCATCTGCCTGGGAAAGGTGCTACACCAAGAGGGCTGGCTTGGGATTTGCTTCTCATTGGGCTGAATAAAGAGGGGTCACAGCTCCAGAGCTTGGGGCTTGGAGCCTGGGAAAGGGTTCTGGGATCTGGGAATGAGTATGGGAGGGTCCTGGGATCAACAGAGGACTATGGGCGGGAGGGGGGCCCTGGGATCAACAGGGACCATGGTGGGTGGTAGGAAGCATTGCCTGATGAACTTGTGTAGCTGGAGTGATCGGAAAGGGGAGAGGTAGGAGAAGGGCTTGCTCTCCCTACACAAAACCATCCTAATAGCACGCTGGGGGCTCACAGCCTGTGCTGACAGAGGGAAGAGCATCAGCCACTGTGGCATTCATGGCCTCCTCTCAATTTAATTTTTATTTTTTAAACCCGAGTGGGGTAAAGGCACCCATCCCTCCTGGCTACCTGGGATGCAGTTGAGCTGAACCTGCACCCCATCCTGCACACCATTTATCCCAGCTAAGGTGGATTACCTGAGCACACTACACCAGCATCTTCTTGGTGGTCACAGCTGCTGGATCCCCATGGCCTGGCCTGGCATTCAGAGAGGGTGGCTTCTGTCCCCGTGCAGTTCACTTCATCCAGCCAGATGCGGCCGGACCCGTGCCCGAAATGGGCAGATCCCAGAGCCGAGACGGCTGTCCCACAGCCCAGCTGCCGGCAGACCACTGCCGCCTCAGCCAGGCTCCAGCCGTTGTCACACACCGTCCCCCACTGATGGTGGTGGAGCACCTCCACGCGCCCTGCGCAGCGGCTGGGACCGTTCTCCAGGCGCAGATGAGCTGGTGTGTCAGTGACTGTGCCTGCTTGTGATACGAGACACAAGAGGAGCGTCAGAACGGGTCTCCCCCAAAGTACTTCTTCTTGCCAGCATGGTGAGACCCACACCAGAGGCTGCTCTGCTGTGTTTTGCACAGGGGGTTCCCACGTCCACAAAGAGATGTTGAGGACTATCTAAAATGTGGGGCTAAACATCTCAGGTGTGGGCAAAACCAGCCATGCAATCTCAGAGCCTGTGCACATTCGACAGGAGCGTAAGTAAACCATAAATGGCTGTAATCCCTTTTTTCAGTCCTCCTGGCTGGCCATCCATGAACCCTCCCCACAGCCACAGCATTCCCCCAAAGGGAGACACTTCCTTCAGCCCCCCACTGCCACTGCCCCTTCTTCAAAAAGGCTTCTGGGCTCCCCCACCCCATCTTTTCATAGCCTGGGGGCTACTGGTCCCAGTAGTGTGGCGGGTTGGGACCTTGCTAGGAGCATCTAGCACCCAGCGTGGTGCTTCCCCTCGCTCCTTGGTGCCCACGGGAGCACACTTTTTGCACGTTGCCCAGTGGGCATTGTTCCCGTCCTATTACCCCTGCTGGGCCTTACTTTCATGGACCTGTGTGCTAAAGAGTGCCAGCGTGGCATCTTGCTGGAGACGGGACAAGGGGGACAAGGTCACCCACCCATGTGTCTGCTGCCCAGCTCATGGCTGCAGCTGTGAAAGCGGTATGAATCCCCAGAGCAGAGCAGCCTCCACTGAACCTCTCCTCCTGGTCCACAAGCATGATGTTACCTGTGCAGGCAACGCTGGCGTCTTCTCCATGGTGGCAGTTGTTGACACCCCAAGGCCTGGCCAGGCACTCGGACAGGGCAGCTTCGGTCCCACTGCACTGGACATTGTCCAGCCAAATGGGGCCCGATCCCTCGCCAAAGTGAGCTGCGCCGTAGCCTGACACCGCCATCCCGCAGCCCAGCTGCCGGCACACCACGGCAGCATCAGCGAAGCTCCAGTCGTCATCGCACACGGTTCCCCACTGGTGGTCATGCATCACCTCTACTCTTCCAGAGCAGCGGTTCGGGCCATTTACCAGGCGGAGCTCTGCAGGAGCAGCGTGGGTGGTCACAGGGTGGCTGGATGAGTCTACAGAGGGCACAAGAGGTGCACCATGAAAACCCCCTTGCCCCTCATTGCTGCAGGACCATTCTGCACTCCACTGCAGTTGTGGACTGCACCCAGTGGTTACCAATGTGTAGCCACCTTGGGACTGGGACAGGGATGATTCCACATGGTCCCAGGAACACGTGGTCCTTCCAGCTGTGGCTGGAGATCCTAATGGTGCTGGGACCGTGTCCTCTTTGCCAGTGGAGGTGACAAGCCAGGAGGCTCAGCACACTTGTGTGCTAAGGTCCGGTGGGACAATTGTGGCACCTGTGGTTCCAGTATCTACCAGTTGCCATGAGTACATGCACCTCGATCAGCTACCAAAGCTCCATGGTTTTGGAACTCCAAGCTTTTGGGGCCTCACAGTTTGTGCCCATAAAAGAGTGTTCTCTATCTGATTGCAGCTCGCCAGAGGCAAAGGCACGGAACCCATCCTGTCTCTCATGTTGGTGATGGGGAGGAGGACTGTGGGTGTCTCCTCCTGGCTGTTCTCTCCCCTGCCTAAGGCTGCGTCTCACAGTGCCTGCCTGCAACACACAACGGGTCTTGAGCCCTGCCTGTGCCCACAAAACATGCAACCACAGTAACGCACCCCTGGTCCTGCTCACCATGGAGGTGTGTGATACGCAAGGGGTCCTTACGCCTCTCCCAGGGGTGATTCATCATCTCAGGAATGTGGAATTAAAAGAGAAAACTTTTTCAAGCCTGCTTCCCAAACTGTTCCCTAGCCTGCAGTCCCTTGTACGGGACAAACAACAAAACCATCCCTTGCTGGAGCCGGTGATGGTTTTGGAAAAACTGGTGGGTCAACACTCCTTGCGAGGGAATTGCTTTGTGGACCATGTGTCGTTGTGCCCGCCCCACCCTATAAGTTCCATGGGGCATTACCTGAGCACACCACACCGGCATCTTCTCCGTGGTGGCAGTTATTCTTTCCCCAGCCCTTCGTCCTGCAGTAAGACAGGGCGACCTCTGTCCCCGTGCAGTTGACGTCGTCCAGCCAGATGGGACCGGACCCTGCCCTGAAATGCCCGGCCCCAGGGGCGGACAATGCCGTGCCACAGCCCAGCTGCCGGCACACCACGCTGGCATCCTCCAGGTCCCAGTGGTCATCGCAGACTGTTCCCCACCAGCCCTCGTAGAAGACCTCGACCCTGCCAGCGCAGCGGTGCGGGCCATCTGACAGGCGGAGGGGAGCCCGCTGGGAAGTAACTGGGTCTGCAAGAGGGATACAGAGAGAATTCAGTTGGAAAAGCAGCACTGGGAAAGGCTGCTTCGCTTGCACGAGCTTCACGGAGCCTCTGCAAACAGTGGCTTATGTGAACCATGGACGTGCTTCTCCTTTGGCTCAAAGATAAACCAAAGAAAATATAAATCCAAGTCCAGGAGAGAAAATGCTCTGCAAACCCCCTTTTTGAAAGACTTTAAAGGGGCTTCAGGTCCTTTTTTGCACAGTATTCTCAACCATTGAAAAGGGAATCTCTGCTGGCTGGACTGAAAACTCTGGGAAACTGTACGTAGGGAATAGCTGTCGGAGGGAAAGGGGGGTCTGTCTGTGTGCAACCTGGTGCTTTAATTAGTGATTTGTATGGTGTGATATGGAGCCTGTGTAGCAAATTAGCCCATGGACCCCAGCCTAGTGGAGCTGCATTTTAGAGGAGGACATTACATGGGCTGAAATTACAGCAAGAAAGGTAAACATGAGTGTTTAATCACAGTGGCGGTAAGCGCTGGAGTGGCCTAGCTGGTGTGAGATGCCTGGGTTGGGATCTGTGTAGATGCTGCAGCATCCATTGCAGAAGGGGCTGGAAAATGAGGCAGGCAGAACAAAATTTAAAAAGCACCTTGCCATCCCACTTGCTGCACAATTGGTCACCTCCTGGAAAACCTTGGTGTCTACAGGGAGCAGAGCAGAATAAATGTTCCTGTTTGCACTGCAGGGAAGAGAACTTTGTGCCCTTTGTAAACAAACTGGCAGCCCTGAAGAGGTGGCCAACACAAATAAGCAATTTCTGGTCTTGACTGTCACCGATTGGGAAGGCTCCAAGCATTTCCCAATTGTTTGGTGTAAGGGCAGCAGTGCAGAGGCCAGGATAATTACCCAGCTAACGAGGTCTCCTTCCCCATCCATTGCTTTCCCTTCCTTTTTAAAGACTGGTGGGTCAAAGGAAGCTTTGTCCCATCCATCTGCAAGCCCAGTCCTCCTCTATTCTTGCACATTACTGACCCCCTCTTTCTCCTAACATGCTCCTTCCCCCGTGCAAGAACCACTCACCACAGAGGCACACCAGGTAGATGAGGAGCCCTGCTGCAGTGAAGCCAGACAGGCTGCTGTGCAGGGACAGGAGGCAACATCCTGAAAACCCCATGCCCACTGCAAACAGCTTAGGACAGGTGACCGTCCCTGTGCGAGCCGCAAGCTGAGCTGGGTGCCGTGGGTGGTGAGAGCAGGTTTGTCCCCTCCTCTGCAGCAACGTGCCCTGTGTTTGCCCAGCACTTAACCCTCCTCCTGCACTGACCCCTCCTCCCTGCTGTCTCCAGGATTTTGCCCTCTGGTTTTAAGTGGTTTTAAGTGGTTTAAGTGACCCCCCAGCACCTGATCCATGTCTGTTAGAAGGTTCTTCCCGTTCCCAGCTGTGTCTGCCCCATTTCATCCACACCTCCCCACTTACCAGCCAGCTCTGGGCTCCATATCCAGCAGCAGGAGGGACTGCAATGCTCACTTATGGAGGTTTGCACCCTCAAGAGAAGCTGAGCCTCATCTTGCAGGCCTTCAAAGGTGAATCCCTGCTATATAGAGACACCCCCAGGGTGCTTGCAGAGGGAAAGAAGCCTCCTTTCCCCTGACAAAATAAGGAGTTTTGAGGGCTTGTGTACACTGAATAGCATGCTCTGGCTGGAGTGTGTCCCAAAGTCACGTTGCTGAAGCCATTTTGTGTACAAAATGTACAGCCTGTATTCTGGGAGTATCGCATAAGATAAAGAATAAGGGGAGGGTAGTCCAGAAACTGTGCTGTAGCCACTGAGATTAAGCTGCCAAACATGCTCGGGTTTTCAGGCACCCCCAGTTGCATCGATTCTCATCCTTAGTTTAAGGGAATCTGGGGAATTTACAGACCAATTTCTGAGGTGGACGGTGGTTTACAACAAACCTCTGGGTCTGCACTAAACATCCTGTCGTGGTTTAAACCTGGTCAGCTGACAAACACCACACAGCCACTCAGTCACCCTTCCCCTGCCCCCAGGGCATGGGGGATAGAATTGGAGAGGTAAAGATAAGACGACTTGTAGGCTGAGATAAAAACAATTTAATAATTGAAATAAAATAATAAAATAATAATAATATATACAAATGAGTGATCGACAATGCAATTGCTCACTGCCTGCTGACCAATGCCCAGCCTGTTCCCAGCCAGCAATCCCAGAGAAAGGAGAATCCTGAAACCGGAATCCCAGAAGACAGAGACAGTTTCCCGGCCAACCCTCACCTATACACTGAGCATGACGTTCTATGATATTGAATAGTCCACTGGCCAGTTTGGGTCTGGTGCTCTGCCTGTGCTCCCCACTGAGCTTCTCGTGCACCTGCACACTGGCAGGACTGGAGGAGTTGAAACGTCCTGGATTTCTTAGCAACAACTAAAAACATCAGTGTATTAACAACATTATTCTCATACCAAATCCCACACTGAATCCAAAACACAGCACTATTCTAGCCACTAAGAAGGAAAATTAGCTCTATCCCAGCCGAAACCAGGACACATCCCCATGCTCATACTGTAATTCAGGTCTTCAGTGAATAGTCTTGTCACCTGCAAGCAGCAGGATGGGGTGTGATGGGACCTCCTCCCCGCCCCAGGATGACCTGTGGGTTTTTGCATCCCAAGGCTGGGGTCGGAGGCATGGCTATGGGGCAAGGAGCCTGACCAGTCCCTGGGGCTGGTGCAAGGAAAGCAGAGCATTGCTGAGCCCTGGGGCCAGGGCACTGGACTGGGTGGAGCCACTGTGGGAGGCTCATGCCAAGAAGAGGAGTCCCAGCTGCTCCACTGCCCACCTCTAGCTCCTTGTAGCCTGAACATCATCTCAGGGGCTTCAGGAAGGTTTGTTACCCCTCACCAGTAATTAACGTGCACTCCTTGGCACAGTGCAGCATGGAGGCACAATATCTTGCCACCTTGTTTTCCTTGCACAGCTACTAGTACCCTTCAACCTGGAGACATGAGCCTGGATGGTCCAACTCCTAAGTAAGAGCTAAAGAGAAGTTATACAGCATTTCCCGCTGGGTCTGAGAAGTGTTCAATCCAACCCAGCCCCTAAGTGGCAGAGGAGACTGGATCAAGATGCAAACCAGGCCGCCTCTGAGAGCCTCCAGCCTCCCAGCATCTAGACTTCTTGTGTTAAGCATGGTCCCTTTAGCATCTGCTTTTAGACACATTATTCATGCTTTTGCCTAATTTCTCTTTGAACTAGCTGAAAACATCAGTCTCTGCAACCCTCCCTGGGGCAGCAGCTTCCAGAAGCTCCCAGCCCTTTGTGCACTCTCTGGACCCATTTGAGTTGTAGTACACCCTTCCTGAGATGTGGTGACCAGCACCACACACACTACAAAAGGCATGGAAGAACCAGGGTTGTATATCGCAGCAAAATTATATCCCGTGTCTCATCTTGTCCTCAGTGTTCTTCTTAGGGCATGCAACATTTTGTTGGGGTTTTTTGGCTGCTGTGGCACACGTAGATGATGATTTTGGAGAACTCGTTTGTATCTGTCTACTGGAAAAGGAAAACATTCAAAGCCAGACATGGTGTACCATGTTATCTCCTTGCATTGCATTGCATGGATGTGTAGCTAGATGGCAGAAAAATCACCTTATTATTCATTGGCAAGCAGTTGGAAACACTATCCTGTGACTGCCTTGTAGTCTCCAAACTTGCTTGCACCTTCCAGGGAGAGAATCACGTATGTGCCAAGAGCTGAGCATTGGGAACTGTCCTCTGCAAGGCAGGGGTGCAAGATGGGAGGAGCCATCAGGATCTTCTCGTGCAGCTCCTTTTTCTCTGCTGTCTGCTCCCAGTGACTGGTATGGTAGCCCAGCACAGATATCTGCACTTCAGCCCTCAGAGTCTTTGCAAATGACTGAGGTCTGCATGTGCCAGCATCTCCATGGTTCAGCCCACCATGGCTGATGCAATGCGGACTCATCTTGTGCTACCCCTCGGCCTTCACATCTCAGCACCTTCCGCTGATCTGAAGCATCCAAAATCTCTCATCCTCCCCTTCATCGATGAATTGGTTGCAAACTCTGTCCAGATAAAGGTGAAGAAGAGATTCCAGGGAATAACGAGCTGGGGAAAATCCATCAGCCATAACAGGTCTGGAGGAAGCTCACAGCTGGAAATTTTGTCATAGAAATGTTCATGTGCCCTGGCAGCCCCTTGGATCCACCCCAGAGCCCCTGAGGATCCTTGCAGTTCTGGATCTGGCACAGGCAGCCAAGCAGCCCTTGCTCTTGCAGACAGAGTCCAGCCCCACCAGGACAGGGAGGGGGAGGAGATGGTACTGGGCAGGACCTAAGCCGTGCTCAGTGTCATGGTTGCGACTGGGGAGTAGCGGAGGAGGATATGAAGCAGATTGCTGCCTGCCCAGACACTGACCCCTTCATCCACCCATCCTTCGGTGTCCTCCATACTGAACCTCCCCCAAGGGCCTCCCAAGGGAGCTCCCTCCCAGGGGATCATCACTGCAATGAAACTCAGGAGGAACAGAAATGGATACCCCATGGAGAAGTATCTCTGTTAGTAAGGGTCACTGTCCTATTTATCACCTCACGGAGAAGGCAGCGTGACTGCTGGGTCAGAAATGACAGTGTCCTGGGGCAGCAGGGCATGGACCAGAGTTACCCCCCAGGCCCATCTGCAGAAGGCACTGAAAGGGACTGCGGGGACAGGCTGGAAAATGTGTGTAGGATCAGCACACCCCAACCCTGGATGTTTCAGACCTGTGCGTGGGTGTCAGTTCCTGTTGCAAGGTGCCGTTATGTCCCTCAGTGCCACTAGACACAGGCACTCAGCTACCCAGATCCCATTTCTACCCTTAAAAAAAGCTTTACCCCACTCCTAACCCTTTCTGGCCACCTCCTTGGGCTTTGAACACAACCCGAAGGATGGGCAGACTGTAGATTCAAAGAGTTAGTGCCCAAGGAGATGTTGGGTGGTGGGTGGACTGCCTGTCCCACCACAGTGGTGGCTGGATCTCCTGCCTCACCTCCCAGCCCTCTGCAAAGAGTCAACCGAGCACCCCTGGTCTAATATCCAGGTTGCATTGAACTGAAGCTACGCAGGGATGTGTCCAGAACAGCTCATCTGCAGAGTAGATGAAGGAGCTGGGGGCTCTGCAGAAGCCTGAGATGACCACTCCACCGTGCAAGGAAGGACCCTGGAGCTGAACTCTAAACCGTGCCAGGAAAAGCCTGAAAAGGGAACTGTGCTTCCTAGGTAGGGTGTAACCCTGGACCACAGCTTCAGGAATGAGAAGAAAGAAAAGCTAACTTTGCAAAGCCTGCTGCGTGTATCTCCATTACCATCATTAGGGTCATTAGGGGAATGACCGTTACCCTGCTCTTTAGCAGAGAGCAGGACCAAGGCAGCCAGGGGTCAGCACGGGATGTCCTTTTGGCCTAAGGCAGAACAATTAATTCTGATGTGTTTTCATCTTAAAGTGCCTGAAACAAGGTGTGCTTCAGCTGACTAAGGGGTGTTCCTGCAGCATGATTGGAACCAGGTGTTGCATACCCCAGGTCATGGTGCCAGGACCTGGGTGCCTGGTGGGAAAAGACCTGCTGAGATAGCTCTGGGAGACTGGATAAGGGGTGAAGCATCCAGCCCTGCTGCAGTCCCTACCACTTTCCAGAAGCAGCCCTTGGAGGGCATCTAGGGGCGTCCCTGGGGCTCTCACACCCAAGGAGAAACATAAAGCCAGTGTTACAGCAGAAGCCCTGAGAAGTGGAAACACACAAGTCAGTGTAGAGGACAGGCATAGGATGATGGTAAGAGATGGGGCACACTGGAAGGCCCAAGGCTATCAGCAGCTCATGGATCGTCAGCTTGCAGGCCTGGATCTGGACAAAAGCAGTTTTAGGGGTAACAAAGAAAAAATACCCAACACAGAGAAAAAGCGCCATGTATAGTCGGTTTGGGTGCAGTATTGATTTGCAGGCAGATAAGGGAAAAGCAACGTGTGGCATTATGCCAGAAAACATCTGAATCCCAAAATGGAAGGTGCAGAGGAAGAACAAATCCCATCAACATTACACTGTACCCAGGCAAAAGCTAACATCCCTGATGACCCACTGCCAAGTCCCCCTGCATGAGGAAGACTGGTGCCATTGACCTTCAGGTTGAGGGAACAGCCGAAAAGTGAGCACAGGACCTAGAAAAGTGGCAAAAACTAGGGAGCGTGTGCCCTAGGCAACTCCTTCTTAGTGCATTAGAGTCCAGGACCAACCCACATCCATGCAGGTACTAACTGAAAATTCCCATCATCAACATCAGCTGGACTATGAAATGTTCACACAAGGCTTACTACAAGTTTAACACAAAGGGCTACTACTCAGAGAAGTGCTTCCACAAGCCTTAAACACTCCTCCCTACATACCACAGCCATAGAGTTGGCCATAGTGTCTTCTGGCCCTCCTTTGAAAGTGCCCTACATGCTGTAGAATCAACTTTTACTCATTAGTTCCCCAAGCTTTTGGCCCATTTGGGTTCTTCACGCACTCCCCATTTCCTTTGACAGATGCTTTGCACACAGCGTGCAAACCATCTTCTATTTCCAGCTTGGTCAACCCTCTCAGGGCACTCCAAGCCTTCATCTTTTAAGGCCCCATGACGCAGTACGCATCCCCTCTTCCCCAGCCCTGCAGATGTTCATGCTTTCACCCCACCACAGCCACTGTTCTTATCACATCGCTCAGCCTGTTTCCCTCTGGCTACCTGTCTATTTTCCTGGTCCTTCATGAGCAGGACTGTCCTGCCAACACACATCAGGGTGCTTGCACGGGGCCCCGCTTTGCTGCTTGTAGTCCCGCTCCACTTGGGTTGGCATGCACCGCAGTGGTACCCGGTGCTTATTTCTATGACCAGAGCTTCTTAAACCTCCTGCCAGCATCCCTCTGCACGGCTGACTCGCACCTCCTTGCCCTCCAATCCTTTCACAAGAAGCCCCTGTCTTCTGAGAGGCCCCAGGAGACTGATGTCCAAGGACACAAGGTACAGAAGCCTGTTTGGGAATAACAGTGATGGAAGAGATCAGTGAGATCTAGTTGTCCCCATACAGATGCATCGAGTGAGCTGTAGGTCCTTTGTCATGTTTGCCAGTCCCATATCAATGTCCTAGAAATAGAGCTTCTCGGATGGCTCTAAACATCTGTGTGAGGCCTAAATTGAGCTTTCAGGTGGAGTTTGCAAAACTGTTCCACTTAAGTACTCTAGGGAAACAAGACCCCTGCATAGTTTTGGGGGTAAACTTTTTAGCCTCTACTGAACGGCTATGAAAAAAAGAAAACTCTCCAAGAGTAAAACATTGATCAGGTCTTAGAGAATGTTTTTATTTTCACAAATGCACAAAAAAAAACTTGAAAGAAAAATATTTTAAAATTCTATGCATCACATATCTTCTGCATGGAGATGGTTGGTGCCGCAAGGCTGTGCGTCATGCCTTGCACTGCTCGGGGTATCTGACCGAGGTGGGCATGGAGGTGGGTGGTGGATCTAGTGACCTAGCGCTGTAGAGATGTGGTGGCCCAGGGCCCCTGGTGAAAGAGCTGTGTGCTGGCACAGAACTGCGTCACTGGAGTTTTAGGCCTGGGCTGGTCACAGACCCTGCTGAGCTCTCCTGTTTTCAGCATCCCCAGCAGGAGCCACCTTGGCTGCTGCTTGCTCTTCTCCGGGCGATGAGATGAATGTGTCAGAGACAACCAGCTCCTCCATGCGCACAAAACCTGCAGGGCATGGTGAGTCAGTTGACGGTTTGCTCCACACAGCCTGAATTTCCCCCTTTTTAACAAGACCAAGAGAGGGTGCTCGCTCTGTTGGAGTCACACGAGTCACCTTGGCTTGACCAACAACGGTGGCAGCACAGGGAACACCACCATCACCCCTGCCAGCACACAGACATGAAGCCTGCTTGGCAGAAACCACCCTTGAACCAGCATTTGTCCACCCACTGCAACTATCATCAACGTGATGGATGGTCAACAAGACAACATGGGGATGTTCAACACAGACAGCCCTGTTATTATCTCAACTCTTTGTGCCCCACGTTGGGCGCCAAAAAGGACTGTTGTGGTTTGAGCCTACTCAGCAGCAAAATGCCCCACAGCCATTCACCCACCCTCCCCCCACTTGGGAAGGGGGAGGGAATCGGAGGGGCAAAGGGAGACTCGCGGGTTGAGATAAAAACAGTTTAATAACAGTAACAGAATACCACGCTGACAGCAGTATCAACGGGTAATGTACCACACAGCCGCTCACCTCCCGCCGACCGACACCCGCCCGCTCCCGGCCAGCGACCCCCAACACACAGGCCCCACGGCCACACCCCCGGAAGTGAGAGCCCCCCCCGCCCCTCTCCTGCCTTTATATAGTGAGCGCAGTGTCACATGACATGGAATATCAGCCAATCGGGGCCCAGCCCTCCAGCTGTGCTCCCCCCGCCCCCGCGCACGGGTGAGGGCACTGGGACCTGGGGAGCCCCGGGGGTCTCGGGGGCTGCAGCTCCTCCCGCTGCTAAAACCAACAGGAACTCTAGTCCAGCCCCAACCAGGACAAGCCCCAACCGCTCAGCCCCATTTTCCAAGAGTCTCTACCACAGCCCTAAAACTGCAGGAACAGACACAGTTCCTTGTCTTTTAGGCTAAAGGTGGGACGTTCCTTGCCAATGGGGAGCTAGGAACCCACAGAGCCGTCCTCTGCTCAGCGCTCCTGTCTGATGTACAGGCAGCGCAGGCAGCAGAGGGGAGTGCAGGCAGCGTTTGAGGAGGCTTCAAGGGCTGTTCCATTTCTCAGCATGTCCGTAACCCAGCAGGGAAGGTGGTGTCAAAGTGAAAGGGGAAGAGTGGAAAGAAAGAGAAAGGGGAAAGGGATAGGGAGAGGTCAAACCAGAAAAGAAAGTTCCTTTCAGTGTGAGCCATGGGGAAAAAAAAAAAAAAATTTCTGCCCCAGCTCTGCTGATGTCAATGTTTTGAACAAAACCACACACTTCTGCAAACTCCATTGCCCTCTGCACCTGCAGCGGAGCTCACCTGGGGAGATGTTAAAAGCCCTACTTTGCATTCGCCTCCTCCCCTGGTACAGAAGAGCCCCGCAGACCAGCATCAAGACTGGAGGGATGATCGAGACCAGCAATGTGAGCAGTGGCAGAGGCTGCGGAGGTTTGATGGTAACAGAGCCTGTGGGGAGAAAGCAAACATCTCTTCATCCAGAGCTAATTCAGGAGATAAACAGACATCACAAGGATGTGAGGAAACAGGCACAGTGTCTGCTGTGGCAAATCCCCATTAGGCAGTGGAAAATACCCTTTTCCCTCAGGAGGATGGTTAAATATAGTAAGAGATGAGAAAGGCATTTGGATCTCAATCCTTGGGGACTTTCACATCTTCATTGGTCAAGGCCATGAATAACATGGTCTAACAAAGAGCGGAAGATTAGAGCAAAGCTCTCCAGAGATCCCTTCCAATCTACGTTGTTTTGTGATCATAATTCAGGAAAGGACATACAAAGAAAGCTTCTGCTAAGACTCTGTCACCACCAGGCACGGTCCCCTCGGTGCTGTAGCACCTTTGCACCAGCTGTGGCCATTCAACACCCACATCATGCACCATCTGGTGCATCACGACTATCTGTGCTTCAAGAGTGGACCACTGGGGAAGTCGAGACCATTCAAGGTGCCACCACTCTGCTACAAGGAGGACAATCTGCTCCAAGCAGTTTATTCCTTGTGGGCCCCACCAGACCTGGACAACTGCAGAATGGTCCCTTCTGCAAACCACATCCCATGGTCACACATTTTTCTCCTCAAGAAGTCTAGGTGACCAGTTAAGACAAGAAGTGCCTGCAGGATGTACCACCCATGTGGTACTCTCCCCAGGGACACTATATTTGAGTCCAGGTGACTCCCAAGCAAATGCATCCAGTCCTGGATAGCTCACTGGATGCAGACATCCTTCTTAGGACATGGCAATACCCCTCTGTTCCCACCAGCCTTGAAGGGACCACAGAAGCCTTGAGGTTTGTCCAAAGTTAGGTGGGACTAGAAGGGCAAAGTTGGATGCTGGGACAAATCTTTCCAACACCAACCATGGCCATCATCTTCCCAGCTCAACCATGAGGATACTGTCCATGCTTTTCCTCCAAGGTTTTCATCATAGTATTTCTCATGGTCAGGATCATCCCCCTCCGACTTGTGCTGAACACATACTCAGGAACCCCCCATCCTGAGATTACATTGCTGGCCATGGTGCCCAAGACAATTTCAGTGGGGTCTACAAACACAGGACCCACCTTGGGCTGAATAAAAGCCCATCTTCACCCTTCAGTGTGCACATCCATCTCTCTGCCTCCTGAGCCACTGGCAGGTGTGCACTGTCTGAGCTTGAGCAAGGAGATCACACTGGCATAGAATGGTTTAAGTTCAAAGGGACCTTTAAAGGTCACAGAATCATAGAATCATTGAGGTTGGAAAAGACCTTTAAGACCATCGAGTCCAACCATTAACCTAACACTGCCAACTTCACCACTAAACCATGTCCCCAAGTGACATATCTACACATCTTTTAAATACCTCTAGGGATGGTGACTCAGCCATTTCCCTGGGCAGCCTGTTCCATTGCTGCACAACCCTTTCAGTGAAGAAATTCTTCCTAATATCCAATCTAAACCTCCCCTGAACAACTTAAGGCTGTTTCCTCTTGTCCTATCACTTGTTACTTGGAAGAAGAGACTGACACCCACACCTCAATAGAACTTCCTTTCACGTTGTTGCAGAGAGCAATGAGGTCTCCCCGAGTCTCTTTTTCTGCAGACCAAACAATCCCAGTTCCCTCAGCCACTCCTCATATGACTTGTTATCTAGACCCTAGGTCTCTAGTCCAATCCCCTTGCAAAGAACAGGAACATCTTCAACCAGATCAGGTTGCTCAGGGCCTCATCCAACCTGACCTTGAATTTTTCCAGGGTTGAGGCATGCCCAGACCCTTTTCCAAACCAACGGTGGCCACCTTACCTGAGCACACCACACCGGCATCTTCCCCATGGTCACAGTTGTGTGTCCCCCATGGCCTGGCCAGGCACTCCGCGAGCGTGTCCTCCCTCCCTGTGCAGTTCACCTCATCCAGCCAAATGGCATCGTGTCCTTTCCCAAACCAAGCCGCACCAGGGGCCGACACCACTGTCCCGCAGCCCAGCTGCCGACACACAACTGCAGCGTCCTCTTCATCCCAGCTGTCATCACACACGGTTCCCCACTGGTGCCTGTGGAGCACTTCAACTCTCCCGGCACAGAGGCTTGAGCCGTTCACCAGCCGCAACACCGCAGGGTCTGAAACGGGACGAGGCGGACACCCTTTTGGAGGTCTCCTTCCCTGCCTGCACTGCTCATAGTGGCCAACGCACATCACCCATTTTTGCTTCGTTCATGCCATTGGCAATGTGGACCTCTGAGAAGGACATGCTTGGTCCTGCCGTTGTTTTGAACATCCCCAAATACCAGAGGGACGTTGTATATTTAAAGCCAGACTTTAATTAATGTCAGATATAAAAGAAAACTGCTGAAATTCAGAGAAAATGGAGACATGCTTGCTGGAAAAGGATAAAAGCAGTGGAATTTTAAAACTTTCCTTCCTGGCCACTGGCGTCTTTGTATGATGGGTTCCTTCTTCCTACCCTGCGCTCTCAATCCAGCAGCTTTTGCTGGTTTTCTGGATTGTAACAAATTCTACATCTCACCCTCTAGGTCCCTAAGGAAAGGCTCTTTCTTCCCGACCCCTTGAAGGCTTGGTCATGCGTCTCTCATTTCTTTGCTCAGGTTCTTGTGCTCAGCATTTCTCGGGTTGCTCAGGTCTTCCACACCCCCAGAATGTCACCAGCAAGACCAGTCACTGAACAAGGTGGACAGACCTCTGCAGAAGAGCAACCTGAGCATTTCTGTAGGGCTTGGTGCTACCCAGGCTCAGAGACATGTCACCAGCAAAATCAACCTCCTCCTTTCCAGCCACACAGCCCAACGCTCCCCTGAATAATGCCATTTCAGAAAAAAGAATAATTACCTGAGCACACAACACCAGCATCTTTCCCATGGTGGCAATTAATAGGTTCCCCCATCCTGGACCTGCATTCGGCGAGGGCAGCTTCTGCCCCTGTGCACTCAACATCAGTCAGCCAGATATGGTTGGACCCACGCCCAAACTGAGCCGATCCTGGAGCTGACACGGCCACCCCACAGCCCATCTGCTGGCACACCACTTCAGCATCACTCAGGTCCCAGCCGTTGTCACACACCGTCCCCCACTGCTGGTTATGAAACACCTCGACCCTCCCAGAGCAGCGGCTCGAGCCGTTCACCAGCTGGAGATGAGCTGGTCCTGGAATTACGAAAGACATGTGGAGGTCAAACATATATGTTTCTTGCCCATGCACTGGAAGATGTGTCCTCAAATGGTGGCCACCTGCAGAGTGACATGGAGACTGTCACTGAGATAAACACCGGCATCTGATCCCATTTTAGGTGCCCTCGGGCATCCAAGAAACCCACAAGGAGGGGACAGCTGTGACACAGGGCTGAATGGGAGATCCACCCCCAGCTGGAATGGTGGCAGGAGGCCAGCGCATCACAAGTGGCACTAGATGCTGCTGTCCTGGAAGTCCAACCAGCCGAGAGACCCAAGGTAGAGGGGAGCTTCAGTGGACTTTATGGTATGGCGACAATGTGTGTCATGTTAGCACTGTGCACAGAGGAAAAAGGAAAGGATGCTTATAGCAGAAGAGTCAAGGCATCAGTAGAGGGGTTATAGGGGAGAACAAGGTGGTGGTTGGGGACTGCTATTCATTCTCCTTGGAGAAAGTCCTCATAGCGGCCAAGGGGAGCTGCTGCCCTCAACAACCTGAGAACAGTTCCTATACAGAGGCAAGAGGCTTCACATGAGCAGGGCAGAGGTGTTTCTCCACCAAGTTATCCTGCACCAACATTGCTCCTTCCAGAGCTGCACCACAATGGAGTAGGAGGTGGCTTACCCAGGCACACCACGCTGGCATCTTCTCTGTGGTTGCAGTTATTCTCTCCCCACGGTCTGGCCCTGCACTCAGAGAGAGCAGCCTCAGTGCCAGTGCAGTTCACATCGTCCAGCCAGATGGGCTCGTACCCCATCCCAAACTGAGCTCTGGGTGGAGCATCTACAGCCCTCCCACAGCCCAGCTGCCGGCACACCACTTCTGCGTCATCCAGGTCCCAGCCATCATCGCACACACTTCCCCATCGCTGGTTGTGCAGCACCTCAACTCTCCCAGAGCAGCGATTTGAGCCGTTCACCAGACGGACCTCAGTAGGGTCTGAAATGGAAAGACACAGAGGTGTCACCTTGTGGTGGTGGACCTAGTGATGGAGAAAGCAAGAATCGGATGCAAGATGGAAGATGAATCCCGATATGTTCAGCATTTGCCTTCACTGAGATTTGAGGAATTCCACATGGAAAGAACATCATCAGAGATAAGCAAGGAAAACTGGCCCCAGAGCTCCTGCACTGTTGGCACCCAGGAGCTCAGCAGCAGGGGAACAGCAGCTACCTGAGCATATCACACCAGCATCTTCTCTGTGCTGGCACCTGTGGACTCCTTTCGGCTTGGCCCAGCATTCAGAGAGGGCAAACTCACTCCCTGTGCAGTTCACCTCATCCAGCCAAATGGAATCACGTCCCTGGCCAAAGTGAGCAGATCCCAGGGCTTTGATTGCTGTCCCACAACCCAGCTGCCAGCATACCACCTCGGCATCGTGCAGGTCCCAGCCATCATCACACACCGTCCCCCACTGATGCTGATGAAGCACCTCAACCCTCCCGGCGCAGCGGTGAGGACCGTCCACCAACCGAACTGCCATCGGGTCTGGAACAAAGAAGGACACCAACAACCCTTCAGGAAAGGCTGGTGGAGACAGTCCTGGGCATGGGATCTTACACGGGATAGTGGCCCCCTCTACTCTCAGCTCCTAGATGTGACAATTTCACAAAACAGGAACCCAGCATGGTCATTCACACCGTGGAGATGCTCAGTGGTTGTCCACTTGGGCTGAAAATGAGCCAGGGAACATGGGAGAAGCAGCAGTGATGGGATTCCCCTTGCATCCCTTGCCTTCATTACCATTATAACCATTATTATTATTATCGCTAGCGTCTAGGGAATTGTCATTCCCTTGCCCTCTGGAGGAAAGGGAGCTATGGCTCAGTTGTGGAACAGCTCTTCCTACAGACACACAGGAGGAATGCAGTGGGGGGGTCACCTGAGCACACCACGCTGGCGTCTTCCCCGTGGTGGCAGCTGTGGGTGCCCCACACCTGGATTCTGCAGTCAGTGAGGGCAGCCTCTGTCCCCTGGCAGCCGACTGTCTCCAGCCAGATGGGGTCATAGCCCTGGCCAAACCTAGCCCAGCCTGGAGCAGAGATTGGAGCACCGCAGCCCAGCTGCCGGCACACCACTTTGGCATCCTCCATGTCCCAGCCGTCGTCGCACACAGATCCCCACTGCTGGTTGTGAAGAACCTCAAGGCGCCCAGCGCAGCGATTCGGGCCGTTCACCAGCCGTAGCTCTGTGGGGTCTAAAGGGGGAATGAGACGAATGAATAAATGGGGGCATTGTGCACCTCAGCCCTCTGAAGAAGATGCCCCACCAGTGTTGGCAATAGCATGCAACCATACAAGGTATGAGTGCATCATCGTGCTTCCCCTATCCACATCAGCATCTTCAGTCGGAAGCAACAGAAAGACCTAGTTGTATTTAGGAGAGGGTAAAAACACTGTGCGATGCCTCACAGAGTGCATTTCCCTTTGGCAATGTCATGACTCTTGGACATCCGTGTCCAAACCATGAGCATGCTTCAGAGGTCTGCTAGGGTGACTACATCTCCCTCGGAGAGCACATCTAACGAGGAAAGACTTTAAAAACCTGTATTTATTTACTCTAGCCAAATGGAGGCTGGACTGGCTTGGCTCTGCCGAGGAAGAGAGTCTTTCCATGTTGCTGCTCTGCTCTACTGCAGTTTCTTGCAAACATTTCCTGAAGTCACCCAGGTTTTGTCTTCAGGTAAGACAGGGCTGGCATCCCATTGCAAGCTGGAGGGATGGAGGGGATGTCTTTCCATCTTGCACTGCCTCTAGAGACACAGAAGCAGCTTGGGACATAGAGATGGGGAAGCCCACAGCCATGCACGGCTAGCATCGATGGCCAAATGCACAGCGTGGAGGGCAGACCACAGGCACTTCAACATCCAGAACAGGTGTGCATGATGGACATGGCAAGCCACTCAACAAGTGACATTTTAAGGTGTCAGACAGAGGATTACCACAAATGGGCAGGAGTGCATCCAGATAGTGCATTGATACGATGCCTACAGAAGCAGAGCTACCTCACCTCCCAAGCATTTTTGACTGCTGCTTGCAATGGCATTACATCCAAAGGAAAACAATGTATACAGAGAGGGAAACAAACTGAAATTAGATGCAAATGTAGCTACAGAAAAAATTCTCTCTGAAGCTATGACTTGGACCAGGCTTACCTGAGCACACGACACCTGCATCTTCACCATGGTTGCAGTTATGGGTTCCCCAAGGCTTGAAGCTGCATTCAGTGATGGCCCCTTCCATCCCTGTGCAGTTCACTTCATCCAGCCAGATTGGACCGTGTCCTTGCCCAAACAGAGCCCTGCCAGGGGTTGACACAGCCAGCCCACAGCCCAGCTGCCGGCACACCACCTCAGCATCATTCAGGTCCCAGCTGTCATTGCACACCGTCCCCCACTGCTGGTTGTGGTGAACCTCAACTCGCCCTGAGCAGCGGCTGGAGCCATTCACCAGCCGGACCTGAGTCGGTTCTGAAAAGACAAGTGTGAAAAACATATAGATGCCCCCGGAAAGGTGACAGGGCTGGATGTGCCCAGTCCTTCAATCATCCCAGAACCTCATGGCTTCAGGGTGAGGAGGTTGCCCATCCAAAATGAGAAGAGCAGGCACCCTCAGACACTCACCACCTCCCCAAACTCATCATTCTCCCTGGCAGGTGGCATCTGGATGGATGTCCCCTCTGAAGCTCCCTCTTCCATTCCCCAGCACATACCCTACCATGAGGGGATTCTTCCTGCCTCCATTGGCAGGGCTGCAATGGGGGCATCTACATCCACGACCATTTCAAAGGTCTTCTGCTCTTTTCTCCATCCCTCCCTCAAAAAAAAAAACCCAAAAAAAACCAAACTGATAGGCTGGGTGCCAGCCCTGATGAGGCAGAAGTCAAGAGATACCTGTGCATTCAACACCAGCATCCTCTCCGTGGTTGCAGTTATGGCTTCCCCAGGATGTGGACTGGCACAGAGACAGGGCAGTCTCCATCCCAGTACAGGTCACTTCGTCCAGCCAGATGGGCCCTGACCCCTGCCCAAAGGCAGCTGCGACCGTGGCTGACAGTGCTTGGCTGCAGCCCACCTCCCTGCACACCACTGCGGCGTCCACCAGGCCCCAGCTGTCATCACACACGGTGCCCCATTTGCCATCATGGAGGACTTCAACTCTGCCAGAGCAGAAACTTGAGCCGTTCACCAGCCGGGTACGGGTGGAACCTGGAGCGGGTGCCCCTGCAAACATCCCCAGGGGAGCAAACGGTCAGAGACTTTGCTGGGCATGTCACTGCTGGCAATGCTTAGAAGCAGGGTCTCCTGCCCAGCAAGCCTGGATTGAGAGCAGCCCTGCAGAGAAGGAAACCTGCCTATGAGCCACCACCGTGTGCTCACAACCCAGAAAGCCAAACATACCCTGGGCTGCATCAAGAGAAGCATGTCCAGCAGGCTGAGGGAGGGGATTCTCCTGCTCTGCTCCACTCTCATGAGACCCCCCCTGCAGTGCTGGGTCCAGCTCTGGGACCCCCAATATCAGAAGGACACGGACCAGTTCGACTGGAGCCAGAGGAGGCCACAAAGATGCTGGGGGGGCTGGAGCAGCTCCCCTGGGGGGCCGGGCTGAGAGAGTTGGGGGGTTCAGCCTGGAGAAGAGAAGGCTCCAGGGAGACCTTCGAGCGGCCTCCCAGGGCTTAAAGGGGGGGCAGGAGAGGTGGGGAGGGACTCTGGGTCAGGGACTGTAGGGATAGCATGAGGGGTAACAGTTTTAAACTGAAAGAGGGCAGATTTAGATTAGATATAAGGAAGAAATTCTTCACTGTGAAGGTGGCGAGACACTGGAACAGATTGCCCTGAGAAGTTGTGGCTGCTCCCTCCCTGGAAGGGTTCAAGGCCAGGTTGGATGGTGCTTTGAGCAACCTGGTCTGGTGGAAGGTGTCCCTGCCCATGGCAGGGGGATTGGAACTAGATGATCTTTAAGGTCCCTTCCAACCTAAACCATCATGTGATTCTATGATTCTGTGGCATCAGACAGGCTGCACCCATGAAGGGTTTCATCCCCACAAAGCCAGGAGGCAGTTGGGCTGAGAAATGCCCAGGGAGCTGCAGCCTCAATGCCAGGAGATGTGGAGAGTTTTGGAAGGTGAGAACAGCATTTAGAACCTGCCTGGAGCAATGGTGTGAAGAGGCTAATTCTTCACAGAATTAGGTAGGGAGTAATTCTGCCTACCTGTAGGGGCCAGATCCAGCTCAAAATTAAGGGTCCTACCTGCCAGTGGCCATAATACGTGTCTATCTGTGAGATGGGTGCCTACACTCACTGTGAAATCAGAGGACACCCAGTCGACAGCAAGGGGCAACCAGTCAACAAGAAGTGGCTAAAAATCAACAGCAAGGGGCAAGATGGTTGTCCTGCCTGCTGTTTAACCCTTTTTTTGTCCACAGTGGCTGATGCAAGCCATGGTGGGTGCGTGTTCCTCACCTGAGCACACGACGCTGGCATCTTCTGCGTGCCCGCAGTTGTGGGTTCCCCAGGGCTGTGCCCGGCACTCGGAAAGGGCGGCCTCTGTCCCAGCACAGCGTACATTGTCCAGCCAGATTGGGTCTACTCCTTGCCCATAGCGAGCCCCGCCGACAGCCGACAGCGCTGCCCCACAGCCCAGCTGCCGGCAGACCACGCGGGCTCCGTCGAGGTTCCAGTGGTCATCGCACACTGTCCCCCAGGTGCCATTGTAAAACACCTCCAGCCGGCCCGTGCAGGAGTCGGGGCCGTTCACCAGCCTTACTCCAGCAGGACCTGATGCTGGTGATGAGAGTAAAGGGAAGGAAATGTTAATGGGAAATCATGGAAAAGAAGAGGCTAGGTAGCAGCTGGGAAAGCATCTCTGCACTTCCTGGCCGAAAGGAATGGGGAAGAACCAGCAACAGAGAGAGAAAGACACGAACAATTATAATTTTATTATAATTATTTTCAGTGGGACACGTAGCAGCTGGCCCCTGAGCAAACTCCAGGACTTCCCAGCTGAGAATACAGTCCCTCAAAACCAGAAAGGCCAAAATACATTAAGACATTTTGCTAACTGCTTTTTAAGTGCACTGCTAATTGCTTTTTAAGTGCTTGACTCTGCAGAGGTTGCAGGATGAACTCCCTTAGCACAACACCAGCATGGGTAACTGAGTTGCAGGCTCTTTGTGGGAGCGATCTGGAGCCAGAGCACAGGACGCCAGGGACTCTGCACCCACAGCTCTAACCTGGATTTGCAGGATGAACAGCCTTGACCCCAGGGTAAGGAATGCAGCTGAGCAAAGAGCTTCCTTATTTTCTGCAAACACCCATCCTGCTTACTCACACCAGCCTGACCCCCGCACATCAACACCAAGATATTTCCTTCCCCATCACAAGGCAGTTAAATCCCATTCCTTCTTGGTTTTTGGCCATTCAAGCTCTATAACCCATTGTCAGTGCTACCGAAATGGCAGTGACACACTCAGTGCACTTGGTTTCTACAGCTCTCCCACTTTTCACTGCTTAATCTTAATGTGCTGTGTGACTCTAGCACCACAAAATTTTCTCCCCTCTTCATGGCATGCACCTTCTAGAAGATACTGGCAGTTCTGAGGAAGCCTCAAGGCTTCTGCAGCAATCAGCTGGAGGAGACTTTCTTGTTGCAGCTGGGCTTGGCAGGTCTGCATCTACCCTGCTTGCAGAAGCACCCATGAAACCATAAGTGTTGCTCTACACACACACCTTATGAAGCCATGAAACCACGAGTCTTGCTCTAAGCATGCACCTTAAGAAACCATGAAACCATGGGTGTCGGTCTACATGGGCACCTTACAAATTTGCATCAACCATAATCAAACCGCCCAGAAACAAAGAGGAACGGCAGCACTCTGGCATGCCACACCCTGAAATACAGCATGCAACCAGCACTGGGGAGGGGAGAACTCGGGGGGAAACACGAGAGCACTCACCACACAGCCCTGCTAGGATGAGGAGGATCTCTGCAGCCCCAAGCTCAACACGGGTGGATAGTTTGTCGCCCATAGTTTGCCCAGCTGACAGCAAAGGACTTTTGGAGAATTTGCTCCCAGACTGGCACAGGTGCAGGAAGAGGTAGGCTTGGCAGAGGCTGAGATCAAGTCCACCATCACCAGCTGGAGAAGAAACACACCAAAGACCTGAAGAAGGCAGCTGGGAGAGGATGCTTTCCACGCTGCTCCATCCCCTGGCTCCCTGGTGTCTCTTGCATCACGTGGAGTCCAGTGGATGAAGGGGAACCGAATCTTCTGCTTTCAGCTGGATCCTTGGTGACCAGCAAGCATCCTCTGGCCACAGCTGCTGTGGGTGACGTCCCACGGGTCCACCGCACAAGAGGACATCAGAAGCAGGAAGGAGATGGTTGGGGGAATTGCAGGGCTTGGTTGTAGGGTATTAGTTTCGCCCCAGAGAGTGTGTCTACTCATGTGCAATGCAGACTCCATACCAACAGACAAGAAAATGGATGAGCATCAAACGGCCTGTTGCCTTGATGAGGGAAAGACTCAGGTCCGGCCTCACCAAGGGGCCTGAGACCAGTGGATTGGGCGTGGGTACCAGCATGGTAACCCTCCAGGAGTATCTCAGAGGCCTGGGACAGGCTGCAGGTGGTCCTGGTGGGGAAGGAGAGCAGCCCCTTCCCCTTTCAGCTACTAGCTCATTCAGGTCTGAAGCAGGAATTTGGCACAAAGCTGCTGAGGCCATCGGTAAAATGTCCTTTTCCCTGTCCCCATGGGCCAAGGTGGATGGTGAGGCTGCAGACATGCCCGTGGGACCACAACTGGGAGCAGGTCAGCCGAGGATCTCCCATTTACTAACTGCAGAGCAGAGGATGCCAGACACCACATCGTCCTGCCTAGCTCTTATTCTCCTTTCTTGCTTGGCTTAAGCTGCCACCTTCCTCATGATCCTTCCTTCCTCTTTGGCTCACCCGGGTCTAGGATGGGGTCCCCGTGGTTGACCCAAGGACTTCAACTGAGTCTCATCGGTCAAAAATGGCTGGGGCAGGCATCAATTTGGGGCTGCTTTTGGTTTCGGCCTTCATTGAAGGTGAACTGGAGTCCGCAGCCAGCTGATGGAGATTGGTGATGGCTGCTTGGTCTCAACTGCCCCCAGAAATGCTTGCTTCATGGCAAATATCTGGGGAGACCTTTGTACAGAAGGTGGAAGGCAAAGCAAGTTCCTTTTACCAATTACTTTTTTTCCCCTGGTTGGTAAAATTAAAATAAAATAAAATAAAATAAAATAAAATAAAATAAAATAAAATAAAATAAAATAAAATAAAATAAAATAAAATAAAATAAAATAAAATAAAATAAAATAAAATAAAATAAAATAAAATAAAATAAAATAAAATAAAATAAAATATAAGGCTGAATAAGGTAGCAATGGCCAGCAAGGTATGAAGAAATGAAACCAAAACTTGCTCTATCCACTTTACCTGGGTTTCAAACCACTTCCTGCACTGCTCCTCTGCATGAGGTGCTGATTTTGGGTGAGCAACCTCTTGCAAAAGTTGCACCAAGAGCCGTAGCCACTGTTGGAGGCAGGGAACACCTCATGGGGAAGGGAAAGGGCCTGCTGATGCCTCTGTTGCTCAGAGAAGCCTCCTGCTCCAGGGAAGGTAACACCAGGAGCAAGTGTTTCAGATAGCCTGCTGAATCAGCTGGTGCAGCCGCTGCCACCTGTACATGGGCAGGGAGACTTGTGCTGGAGCACCTCCAGCATCACAGGCCGGGCAGGGGTTTTGCATCCTACACATCATCCCCAAGGGCACAAAGTGTGGATGGAGATGGCTGGGGGACAGGGACACCTGGCACGCTCCACGTGCGTAGGGAAGGTGGGCAGAAGCATGTTCTGATCCTGAGGTCTGGTCAGGTGAAGGACCTTGCTGTCCACCTGGGTTCCTCCTCTGCTGGGATGAGATCCTGGCAGCTGGGAAGAAGCAGAAGACCGAGGTTGGTGGGAGAGCTTTTCAGGGAACTACAGGGCACAACTAGGCACACCATGGGCTATAGGGCAGTGCTGGGGAGATTTTCAAGGGTCTATAGGGCACAGCTGAGGATACTTGCTGCTGCCAAAGCTGGGGGGTATATAAGGATGGACAACATAAGAACAGACAATATAAGGATGGATGATAGAAGGGCAGACAAAAGAAAGACTGTATAAGGACAGACAATATAAAGACAGAGAAGGTGCACACTGCCATGTAGCGACAGGAGATGTGGGGCAGAGAGAGGGGGCACAGGGGGAGACGTGGGGCAGGGCAAGGTGCAGGAGCAAAGGGGGTGGATGTGGCGCAGGGAGGTGTGGGGCAGCCCCTCTGGACTGGTGGCCCAAGCCAGCACCTGCAGGAGGGTCCTCTGCCCCATGTCCAGCTCCAGCCCCCCAGGGAAAGATGGGGTACCTCAGTCACAGGGACACTGGGGCCACCACGTCCCGAGACATGCTGCCCCCTCCCTGACACCCACCTGCCCCCGGGTGGGATATGACACATTAGTGGCTCCAGGGTGGTGATGTCCTTGGTCCCAGTCCCAGGGGCTGTGAGCAAGAGGGGGCAACAACGGAGGGGAAAGGGGAGGACTGGGGAGCCATAAGCAGGGGGCAATAAGAGGGCTGTAAGGGGGTAGCAATAAGGGGACCCCTACCTCTTTTCTTATGGCAACCTGGCCCAAGTGACAAGCATCTCCAACGGGACATGGCAAGGGCAGTCCCCAAGTTGAGGGGGGCAGAGAGCAGGGTCCCCCCAGCCACCCGCACCAGGGTGGCCACTGTCCCCTCCGGGGGCTCCTTGGAGGGAGAGGGGCTCCTGTCCTGCGCCCATCACTGTGCCCTTGGTGTCACAGCCCGAGGACGGGGTGAGCTGTGGGAGAGAGAACATCACTGGGGGAGCTCGGGGAGACAGGCGCACTGTGGACAAGGGAGATGGGGTGACAGGGGTCCTGCCTGTTCCCACCCTCACCCCATATCCCAGTGGCTCTCAGCCCCTTCCAATCACTCCCAGCCCCCCAATTCCCCCCAAGCCCCCTGCCCCCCCCAGTCTAATAGTTGCTCCAACACCCTCTGAGCCCCACCCAAATTCATCCAACCCCTTTCTCCCAGCTCCCACCAACTCTCCCCAAGACCCCAAACCCCAGTTCCCCCTAAGCCCCTGCCCACCCAGTTCCCTTAACCCCCCTGAGCCTCCACAACTCCCCCAGCCCCCAAACCCTTATCAGCCCCCCAACCTCCTGTCCCGTTTCCCCCAACCACCCTGAGCCTCCTCCCCAAGCCCCTCTGAGCCCATCAAATCCCCCTCAGCCCCCCAACCTTCTGCCCTCCTAGTTCTCCAACCCCTCTGAGCCCCCAACCTCCCTAGCCCCCCATTTCCCCAACCCCTCTGCGCCCCCGAGCCCCTCATTTCCCCCAACCCCTCTGAGCACCCACAACCCCCAGCAGCCCCCCCTCCAAAATCCTGCCCCCCCATTTCCCCAAGCCCTCTGATCCCCCCAAATCCCCACCAGCCCCCTCAACCTCCTACCCCGCCCCGACCCCGCGCCCCCCCTAACCCCCTCCCGGCCGCCCTGACCTACCCGCGGCCCCCAATTCCTCAAACTCCCGCCGGACCCCTCAGCCTCCCGAGCCCCCCAGATCCGCTGGGTACGCTGTGGGGGGGTCACACACGAGCGGCATGCCCCTCTCCCCCCTCCCTCACCGGTCAAAGATGGCGCCGGCGCAGACTCCATTTCCCAGGAGCCCCCGCGCGGGCCGGGCCCGACCCAGCCACCGGGTGCGCGCGGCGCCGTGGGGAGGGGGGGGCGTGGCTCCGCGGGCGGCGCGGCCCAGTCCGTTGCGCGGCGGCGGCGGGGGCGGGCGGGCTTGCGGCGGCGGGCGGCCGGTGCGGGCCCGGCCCTGCCCTGCCCTGCCCCGCCGCGGCGGCGCCTCCCCGCGCCCTTCCCGGCAGGTAAGCGGGCACCGAGAGGGTAGCGGCGGCGGGGCCCGGGCGGCGGCGGCGGCGGCGCCTGCGCAGGGAGGACGGCGGGGGCGGGGCCTGAAGGGGCTGGGGGGGGGGGGAGCGGGGGCGGGGCCTGGGGGCGCGGCGGGGGCGGGGCCCGGAGGGGAACGTGAGCCGGCGGGGGCGGGGCCTGGCGGGGAATTACGGCTCAGGGTGGGCGGGGCCCCAAAGGATTCAGGTGCGGTGGGGGCGTGGCCGGGGAGGGGCGGGCGGCCCGGAGTGGGGCGGGGCCTGGAGGGAGACACCGGCCGGCGGGGGCGTGGCCTTCCGCGGGGTGGCCCCGCCCGTAGCAGCGCCGGTCACGCCCCCGCAGCACTGCCAGGGCGCCGGGGCCGAGTTCTCCCTCGCCAGCGAGGCCACGCCCCCACGCGGAGGCCACGCCCCACTCCCTCATATCGGGGGGGGGGTCGCACCCTGCCCAGCCTCCGTTGTGTTTCCCCCGCCCAGGCTGTCGGCATGGCGGGAGCGACGCCACCGGCGGGGCCAGCCACCTCCCGAGCCGGGGGTCCGGGCACAGCCGACCAGCCCTACGCCTGCCGGGAGTGCGGGAAGGCCTTCAGGTGGTCGTCCCGCCTGGCCCACCACCAGCGCAGCCACACGGGCGAGCGGCCCTACAAGTGCCCCGAGTGCCCCAAGGCCTTCAAGGGCTCCTCCGCTCTCCTCTACCACCAGCGGGGCCACACGGGTGAGCGGCCCTACGCCTGTCCCCAGTGCGGCAAGGCCTTCAAGCGCTCCTCCCTGCTGCAGACCCACCAGCGGGTTCACACGGGGCTGCGGGCCTTCGAGTGCGCCCAGTGCGGCCTCACCTTCAAGTGGGCGTCCCACTACCAGTACCACCTCCGCCAGCACACCGGCGAGCGGCCCTACCGCTGCCCCGCTTGCCCCAAGGCCTTCAAGAACTCTTCCAGCCTCCGCCGTCACCGTCACACCCACACCGGCGAGCGGCCCCACGCCTGCCCCGTCTGCGGCAAAGCCTTTGCCCAAGCCACCAACCTCCGACAGCACCAGCGGGTCCACACCGGCGAGCGGCCCTACGCCTGCCCCCAGTGCGGCAAGACCTTCACCCACTCCTCCAACCTCCTCCTCCACCGCCGCACCCACGCCGGCGCCCGGCCCCACGAGTGCCCGACCTGCGCCAAGGCCTTTGTCTCTGACGCCTGCCTGCAGAAACACCTCCAGAGCCACGCTGCCGTGCCGCCGCTCCTCCCAGCACCCACCGCAGCACCAGAGACACTCTGGAGTTGCTCTGCCTGCCCGCTGAGTTTCACCAGTGAGGAAGAGCTGCTGGGTCACCAAGGCAGCCATCCGGTGACAGCGGAGAGCCCTCCGGCTGCCCCCCACCACTGCCCCACCTGCGGCAAGACCTTCAAGAACAGCTCAGGGCTGTCCCGGCACCGGCACGGCCACGCTGCTGAGCGGCCCTTCAAGTGCACCATCTGCCCCAAAACCTTCACCCAGCTGGCCGGGCTGTTGGGTCACCAGCGCAGCCACCCCACCGCTGTCCCACCGCATCCCCCCCCTGAGGCTCCTGACCCCCCGGCAGTGCCCCAGCCCGCCCCAGAGCGCCCTTACCAATGCACTGAGTGTGGCAAAGCCTTCAAGGGCTCCTCGGGGCTGCGTTACCACATGCGGGACCACACGGGTGAGCGGCCCTACGCCTGCCGCGAGTGCGGCAAGGCCTTCAAGCGCTCCTCCCTCCTCCAGATCCACCAGCGGGTTCACACGGGGCTGCGGGCCTTCGAGTGCGCCCAGTGCGGCCTCACCTTCAAGTGGGCGTCCCACTACCAGTACCACCTCCGCCAGCACACCGGCGAGCGGCCCTACCGCTGCCCCGACTGCCCCAAAGCCTTCAAGAACACCTCCTGCCTCCGCCGCCATCGCCAGCTCCACACCGGCGAGCGGCCCCACGCCTGCCCCGTCTGCGGCAAAGCCTTTGCCCAAACCTCCAACCTCCGACAGCACCAGCGGGTCCACACCGGCGAGCGGCCCTACGCCTGCCCCCAGTGCGGCAAGACCTTCACCCACTCCTCCAACCTCCAGCTCCACCGCCGCACCCACTCTGCCGCCCGCCCCTACCGCTGCCCGCTCTGCCCCAAGGCCTTTGTGATGGCCTCCTACCTCCAGCGCCACCTCCGCACCCACACCCCCGGGCCCCGTGGGACCCCCCGCCGCCCCCTGACACCCTCCCCCGAAGCCCAGACCTTCCTGCTGGTGCAGACTCCCCAGGGTCTGCAGCTCATCCCCAGCCCCCCGGCGCCCCCACGGAAGCTCTTCCTGCTGCCCAGCCCCCCAGCCGAGCCCCCTGCCTTCACCCTCCTGCCCACTGAGGGTCCCCCGTCCCAGGTGGGGAAGGGTCCCCGGGCACCGGGACCCTCCGCCACCGGGCAGAGCATCCTGTTGGTACCCGGCACGGGGCAGGCGCTGCCCGGCGTCCAGCTCCAGGCGGTGGCGGGGGCCCCGGCGGGGGCCAGCGTCATTGTTCTGAGGGGTGGCATCAGTGGTGTCATTCCCCCACGGGGGCCGCAGCCCCCCGAGGTCACCAGCGTCCAGCTGCAGGCAGCCGAGGTGACCAACGTCCAGCTCCAAGCCCTGCCACAACCCTTGGAGGTCACCAACATCCAGCTGCAAGCTGCCGAGGTGACTAATGTCCAGCTCCAAGCCACAGAGGTGACAAGTGTCCAGCTCCAAGCCCTGCCACAGCCCTTGGATGTCACCAACATCCAGCTCCAAGCCAGTGAGGTGACAAACGTCCAGCTCCAAGCCCTGCCACAGCCCTCCAAGGTGACCAACATACAGCTCCAAGCCAGTGATGTGACCAATGTCCAGCTCCAAGCCCTGCCACAGCCTTTGGACGTCACAAACATCCATCTCCAAGCCGCCGAGGTGACAAATGTCCAGCTCCAGGCCCTGCCGCAACCCTTGGATGTCACCAACATCCAGCTCCAAGCCAGCGAGGTGACAAATGTCCAGCTACAAGCCCTGTCACAGCCCTCCAAGGTGGCCAACATCCAGCTCCATGCTCTGCCACAACCCTCGGATGTCACCAACATCCAACTGCAGGCCACAGAGGTGACAAATGTCCAGCTGCAAGCTCTGCCACAACCCTTGGATGTCGCAAATATCCAGCTCCGAGCCCTGCCACAACCCTCTGAGGGCACAAGCATCCAGCTGCAAGGCACCGAGATGACAGATGTGCAGCTCCAAGCCCTGCCACAATCCTCCAAGCTGACCAACATCCAGCTCCAAGCCCTGCCACAACCCTTGGATGTCACCAACATCCAGCTGCAGGCCACCGAGGTGACCAACCTCCAGCTCCAAGCCCTGCCGCAGCCCTCAGAGGTGCCCAGTGTCCATCTCCAGGCCACGGAGGTGACAGATGTCCATCTCCAAGCCACAGAGGTACCCAGCGTCCAGCTACAGACCACGGAGGTGACAAATGTCCATCTCCAGACCACCAAGGTACCTGACGTCCATCTCCAAGCCACAGAGGTGTCCAACGTCCATCTCCAAACCACAGAGGTCCCCAGTGTCCCTCTCCAAACCACGGAGGTCCCCAGCGTCCATCTCGAGGCTGCAGAGGTGCCCGACATCCATCTCCAGGCCACAGAGGTGCCCAACATCCAGCTCCAGGCCATGGAGGTGGCCAACATCCAGCTGCAGACCACAGAGGTGCCCAGTGTCCATCTTGAAACCACTGAGGTGCCTGATGTCCATCTCGAAACCACAGAGGTGCCCAACATCCATCACCAAACCATGGAGGTACCCAGTGTCCATCTCCAGGCCACAGAGGTGCCCAGCATCCATCTCCAGGATGCAGAGGTGACCACTGTCCAGCTGCAAGCCACTGAGGTGCCCAGCATCCATCCCCAAACCACTGAGGCAACAAATGTCCATCTCCAGGCTGCAGACATGCCCAGTGTCCATCTCCAGACCCCTGAGGTGCCCAGTGTGTGTCACCAAACCACTGAGGTGCCCAGTGTCCATCTCCAAGTCACGGAGGTGCCCAGTGTCCATCTTCAGACCACAGAGATGACCAGTGTCCATCTCCGAGACACCAAGGTGTCCAGTGTCCGTCACCATATGATGGAGCTGCCCAACATCCATCTCAAGATCACGGAGGTGCCCAACATCCAACTGAAGACAATGGAGGTGACAAATGTCCATGTCCAGGCCACTGAGGTGCCCAGTGCCTGTCACCAAATGGTGGAGGTGCCCAGTGTCCAACTCAAGACCATGGAGGTGCCTGACATCCAACTCAAGACCATGGAGGAAGTGGCTGACATCCAACTCAAGACCGTGGAGGTGCCTGATGCCCAACTCAAGACCGTGGAGGTGCCCAACGTCCAGCTCAAGACCGTGGAGGTGCCCAGTGTCCATCTCAAGACCGTGGAGGTGCCCAGTGTCCATCTCAAGCCCGCGGAGGTGACCAAAGTCCATCTCCAGGCTGCGGAGGTGTCCAGTGTCCAGCCGGAGGCCCCCGAGGTGCTCGTGGCAGGGGGGGGCCCATCTCCCTCCCCATCCCCACGGCTGGCGGTTGTGGGGGCGGCTGGGGGGCTGCCCCCCGTGCTGCTGCTGCGGGGGGCCGGGGGGGAACCTGCCCGCCTCTGCCTGCAGGCGCTGGCCCAGCTGCCCCCCCCCGGCCCTCCCCGGATCCTCTTGGTCCGGGGTGAGCCGGTGCCAGGGGGCAGTAGTGGGGGACAGCCCCCCCCCCCGGCCAGGGGGACATCTGGGGGTGGCAGCGGTGGGGGGGGAACAGGGACGGGACCCTCTGCCCCGGAACTGCCCAGTGTCCCACTGGTTCACACCTTCTGAGGGGGGGACGGACCCTCTGGGACCCCCCCCAGGCCTCCTCTTTGTGGTCAGCCTGGGTTTCCATAGATGCACATCTTCTGGGGGGGAGGAGGGGGCCGGACCCTCATGACCCCTAGGGCCCCCCAAAGTCACCCAGGATGCCCCATGGCTCCCCCCCCCCAGCCACCCCTGTTGGGGGGGAGAGGGGGGGGGTGTCTTTGCCCTGGAGCCCCGAGGGTGTGGGGGACGCCGGGGTCCCCGTGGGGGGGGGGGGTCGGGCCCTGGACGCCTGGGTCCGCCGTGGGCGTGGTCAATAAACGGTGCCGACCCCCCCACACCCCCCACCCCGCACCCAGCGTTTTTCCTTCCCGGCGAGAGGGGGGGGGCACCGGGGGGGAGGCTGGGCCGTCGCTAGGGGCGGGGACTGTTGCTATGGGGACGCGCCTGGCTGGGAGCGAGGCCGTTGCTAGGGGCGGGGCTGCTGCGCGAAGGAGGCGGCGAGGGGGCGTGGCCAGAGGCGGGGGCTGCGCGGTGCGGCGGGGCCGGGGGGGAGCTGGGGGGGAGCTGGAAGCCGAGGGGGTTTACTGGGAGCACTGGGGAGGGGGGGGCGAAGGGGAGCACCGGGGAGAGGGGTGGGCACAGTGCTCTGGGGGGGGGGTTGCGCTGGGATTTGGGGAGGCACTGAAGGGCGGGGGGGTGGGGGGGCTCTGAGAGACATTTGGGGGAATGTGGGGGTACAGGGGTCGGGGGGGCGCCCAGGGGTACCCCCAACCTTGCACCCAGGGGAGCCCCCCCAAACACTGTCCCCCCAGCCCCCGCCAGCCCTGGTGGGCCTGTGACCCCCCTGCAGTGCAGCCCAACTGCCCCCCAGTGTGGCCCCACTGACTCGTGTGTACATGTGCACGTGTGTCTGCGCACGTGTGTGGACATGTGTGCACTTTTACATGTGTGTGCCTGCCTGCGTGCATGTGTCTCTGCATGTGTACGTGTGCGTGTGTGTGCATGTCTGCCTGCATGAGTGTGTACACAAGTGTGTGTACATGTGTGCATATGCGTGCACGTGTGTATATGTTTGCAGATGCACACATATGTGCATGTGTGTGCACATGTGCATATGTGTATGAGTTTGTACAGGCGTGTGCGTGCACTCATGTGCGTGCACGTGTGTGTGAGTGTGTATACATGTGTGCATGTGTGTGCAAATCTCCATGCATGTATGGATGAGCACATGTGTGTGAGTGAGTGTACACACATGTTCCTGGCTCCGTGCACATGTGAGTGTACAACTGCTCCGTGTGCCCTGTGCCTCTTTGCTACAGGAGGCCACGTGCACACACGTGTCGGTGGGATGCTCCGTGTCCACGTGTGGCGGGAGGCCACGTGCACACGTGTGGGCGATGCACATGTGTCCCCTGGGCGCCGCGTGGCTCTGGCTTTAACCCCCACCTGCCCTAGCCCAAACCCCAACGGGTTGGGGGGGACGCAACAAGGGGGGACACCCTTCCCCCCCCTGCCTCCCGGCCCCCCCCCCCCCGCCTCCAGCCCAGCCCCTGGACAGACGGACGGACGGACTGAGTCATCCTTGGCCCGGCAGCCCCGTCTCGTCTTGTGCTCCCCGCCCTCCGGCCGTCCCCATCGCCACCACCGCCCGCCATGGCCCTCGCCCTCCTGCTCCTGGGTGAGCCCGGCGGCACTGCGCACGCACTGCGCTGCACTGCACGGGCACTGCGCTGCACTGCACGGGGTTGGTGCGCGTGTGGCACGGGTGTGGTGTGGGTGCTGGGAGGGGAGGTGGGATGCGGGCACTGCGCTGCACTGCACGGGCACTGCGCGGGCACAGTGCTGGACCTGGCACTAACACTGCACAGGCACTGCACGGCAGAGGCTGGGCGCTGCCCTGGGCACTGCATGGAACCGGGCGCTGCGCTGGGCGCTGGAAGGGAAGGGCAGTGCTGCGGGGGGGGGGGGGGGGGGGAAACGGGGCAGGGCACTGCAAAGGGGCTGGACTGGGCACTGGACAACGCATGGGGCACTGGGAACTGGGCAGTGGGCAGTTGGAAGGGCACTGGGGATTGCACTGGGCACTGTGGACCGTGCTCGGCACTGGACAAGGCACTGGGATCTGTGCGCAGTGCTGGGCACTGGGTGGGGGCACTGGGATCTGTGGGCCATGTTGGGCGCTGGGCAAGGCACTGGGCACTGGGTATGGGGCACCGGGTGTGGAGCACGGTGTGGGGCAGTGGGAAGGGCACTGGGTGCTGTGGGCCATGCTGGGCGCTGGGCAAGGCACTGGGCACTGGGTATGGGGCACCAGGTGTGGAGCACGGTGTGGGGCAGTGGGAAGGGCACTGGGTGCTGTGGGCCGTGCTGGGCACTGGACACTGGGTGTGGGGCACTGTGGGCTGTGCTGGCAAGTGGGCACTGGGCTGTGCGGCATACTGGGAAGACTGTGGGGCACTAGGCAGGGCACTGGGTGTTTGGACTGTCCTGGGCACAGGGAGGGGCAGTGGGTAAGGCGGGCTGTGATGGGCAGTGGGCATGGGAGGCACTGCGGACTGGGGACCGGGAGGGACATTGGTCACTGGGCAGGACACTGGGCTCTGGGCTCTGGTCAGAGAGCACTGGGAAGGGCACCGGGCACTGGACATGGAGCACTGGCCACTGGGATGGGCGCTGGGCAGGGCGCTGGGGATCCCAGGACAGGGTTGGGGTGCCTGGACGCCTGGTCCCCCCACTGATCCTCTCCACTCGGTCTCCAGTGGGGCTGCTGGGACCCCGCAGCACAGGTACTGGGGAGGGGGAGGGAGAGGGGAGGTGGGGCAGTGGGGTGGGGAGGGTCCTGGTCCAGTGAGTCCCAGTGAGGGGGAGCTCCCAGGGGGTTCCAATGTGTGCAGGGGTCCCAGCAGGTCCCAGTAGGTCCCAGCAGGTCCCAGGGTGTGCAAAGGAGCCCAGTGGGTCCCAGGATCACAGTGGGTCCCAGTTTATGTAAAGGATCCCAATGCATCCCACTGTACTGGGCTCCCAGTAAGTCCCAGCAGGTCCCCATGTGTGCAGAAGCTCCCAGTGGATCCCAGCAGGTCCCACTGTATGCAGGGCTCCCATCAGGTCCCAGTGCGCGTGGATGATCCCAGTGAGTCCCAATATGTGCAGGGCTCCCAGAAGTTCTCAATAGATCCCAGTGTGGGCAGTGGGTCCCAGCAGGTCCCAGTGTGGGCAGAGGATTCCAGCAGGGTCCCAGCAGATGCAGGGCTCCCAGTAGGTCCCAGCAGTTCCTGATGGGTGCAGAGGATCCCAGCAGGGTCCCAGTGGGTGCAGGGCTGCCAGTAGGACCCAGCAGGCCCCAGTGGGTGCAGAAGCTCCTGGTGGGACTCAGCAGGTCCCAGGGTGTGCAGAGGATCCCAGCAGGTCCTAGTGGGTTTGGAAGCTCCCAGTGGGATTCAGCAGTTCCCAGTGTGTGCAGAGGTCCCAGTGGGTCCCCGCAGGCCCCAGTGGGTGCAGAGGGTCCCAGCAAGTCCCAGTGGGTGCAGGGCTGCCAGCAGGACCCAGTGGGTGCAGAGGGTCCCAGCAGGTCCCAGTGGGTGCAGGGCTGCCAGCAGGACCCAGTGGGTGCAGAGGGTCCCAGCAGGTCCAGGTGGGTGCAGAGGGTCCCAGCAGGTCCAGGTGGGTGCAGAGGGTCCCAGCAGGACCCAGTGGGTGCAGAGGGTCCCAGCAGGTCCCAGTGGGTGCAGGGCTGCCAGCAGGTCCCGGTGGGTGCAGAGGGTCCCAGCAAGTCCCAGTGGGTGCAGAGGGTCCCAGCAGGTCCCGGTGGGTGCAGAGGGTCCCAGCAGGTCCCAGTGGGTGCAGGGCTGCCAGCAGGACCCAGTGAGTGCAGAGGGTCCCAGCAGGACCCAGTGGGTGCAGAGGGTCCCAGCAGGTCCCAGTGGGTGCAGAGGGTCCCAGCAGGACCCAGTGGGTACAGAGGGTCCCAGCAGGTCCAGGTGGGTGCAGAGGGTCCCAGCAGGTCCCGGTGGGTGCAGAGGGTCCCAGCAGGTCCCAGTGGGTGCAGAGGGTCCCCGCAGGTCCCAGTGGGTGCAGAGGGTCCCAGCAGGTCCCGGTGGGTGCAGAGGGTCCCAGCAGGTCTCGGTGGGTGCTGGTGGGCGCCGTTCACCCGGGTGCCTGAGTGCAGGCTGTCCCCAGGGCCCTTCCCACTGCGGCTGGCCGGGGGCCCTGGGCGCTGCGCCGGGCGGGTGGAGGTGCAGCATGACGGGCGCTGGGGCACCGTCTGCGACGACGACTGGGGGCTACCCGACGCGGCGGTGGTCTGCAGGCAGCTGGGCTGCGGGGCTGCCCTGGCCGCCCCGCCGGGAGCCTGGTTCGGAGAGGGCTCGGGTCCCATCTGGCTCAACGGGTTGCGGTGCCGGGGCACTGAGGAGCGCCTGGCCCTGTGCCGTCACCGGGGTTGGCGTCCCCACGTCTGCGCCCACGAAGAGGATGCCAGCGCCGTCTGCTCAGGTGGGCTGCGGCAGGCGGCAGGGGGACATGTGGGGGGCCAAGCTGGGACCCCCCTCGCCTGACTGCTGCTCCCCACAGCTCACCGCTTCCAGCCCCTTGGTGCCACTGAACCCTCCTGGGCCCCCACGCTGCCCCCCACCATCACCCAGCCGTCTGTTACAGCCTGCACGGGTGCAGCGTGCACAGGTACGGTGTGCACAGGTACAGCATGCACGGGCGCAGCACAGGAAGCTACAGTTGGGTACGGTGGGCATGGGCACGGTGTGCACAGGTACGGTGTGCATGGTCATGGTGTACACAGGTACAGTGTGCACAGGCATTGCATGCACATCTATGGTGTGCACAGGTAGGATGTGCATGGGCGCAGTGTGCACAGGCACAGCATGCACAGGTACGGTGTGCACGAGCATGGTGTGTGTGGACACAGTGTGCGTGGGTATGGTGTGCACAGGCATGGTTTGTATGGGCATGATGTACACAGGCATGGTGTGCATGGTCGTGGTGTGCACAGGTACAACGTGCACAGGCATGGTGTGCATGGTCATGGTGTGCACAGGCATTGCATGCACAGCTATGGTGTGCACAGATAGGGTGTGCATGGTCATGGTGTGCACAGGTACAGTGTGCACTGTTATGGTGTGCATGGTCATGGTGTGCATGGTCACGGCGTGCGCAGGCATGGTGTGCACAGGCGTTGCATGCACAGCTATGGTGTTCACGGCTAAGGTGTGCACGGGCGTGGTGTGCAGAGGTACGCACACCCATGGGTCCCAGGGCCCCCATTGGCGCTGACCACAGCCTCTCTCCCAGGGACCCCCAGCATACGGCTGGTGGGGGCAGCGGGGCGCTGCGCCGGCCGGCTGGAGATCTTCCATGCTGGGCGCTGGGGCACTGTCTGCGATGACCTGTGGGGGCTGCAGGACGCAGCAGTGGTCTGCCGGCAGCTGGGCTGTGGGGCTGCCCTTGACGCACCCCGGGCAGCTTTTTTTGGCGAGGGCACAGGCCCCATCTGGCTAGATGATGTGCGGTGCCAAGGGAACGAGTCATCCCTGCGGGGGTGCCTGGCTTCCCCCTGGGGTATCACCAACTGCCAGCACCAGGAGGATGCCGCTGTGGTCTGCGCAGGTACCCACAGTGCGGGGGGCTGGGGGCTGTGCCCCCGCAGGGGGGGTGCAGTAGACGCGTGGTCCCCGTACCCAGGCGGTGGGCACGGGGTGGCAGGTGGGCACAGGGGACACGGCGGCTGAATTGAAAATGCTGTGGGTGCGTGGTCCACATGGTGCAGTGCGGCTGCACTGCGAGCGGCAGCAGTGAGGGTGCAGCACATGTGCAGCACGTGTGCGGTGCATGTGCAGTGCATGGGGACACAGTCTGTGCAGTGTGTGCGTGGGCAGGGTGCAGCGCGTGTGTGCAGTGCACAGGGACAGCGAGTCTGTGCAGCGCACGGGGACAGCAAGTCTGTGCAGTGTGTGCGTGGGCAGGGTGCAGCGCGTGTGTGCAGTGCATGGGTGTGCAGTCTGTGTGCCATGCGCGCCCTGCAGGGCTCATGCTGCTCTCCTCTGCCCGCAGATGAGCTGGCCACCCTGGATGTCCACCCTGCGGAGCCCATTCCCCTCCCGCCGCGGGTGATGCCGGCCCAGGTGCTGCCCTCTGCATGGCCCCGTGGCCCTGGCTCGCTCCGGAGCACTGCAGCCGGCCAGCCCACGGGAAGGACGCCCCATGAGGGTAGGGGGAATAGGGGTGGGGGTCCCCCTGTGCAAGGTCTCGGGAAACTGGCAGGTGACCGGCTGCAATGTGGGACCCCCTGTTTTGACGCCCTGGCCCAGCTGTGGGGCTGGGGTCTGAAGCCGATTTGGGGACATGAAACCCGCCCCATGCATCTCCCCTCCCTCCTTTAGCCCCTCCCCATGTCCCAGAGACCCTGTCCCCAAGGGATGCCCCCACCTCTGGCCCTGGGTGCCCCCCCAGAGCTGGGCTGAGCAACCTTCTCATTGCTGCAGGGCGAAGGGACCTCCTGTCACCAATGGGGACCTCTCCGCTGGCCAGCAGCACCCGGAACCCTGCAGGACAGGGTCTGACCAGCACCACCCCTGGTACCCAACGCCCCACACGATGGGGTGCAACTGGTGCCTCCCCCAGTACCCAGCTCCCCACAGGACAGGGACGAATTGGTGCCACCCAAGCCAAAGCAAGGCAAGATCCCATTCGTATCCTCAGGATCACCCGACTGAAAGCAGAACGGGATCCAGCTGGCATCATTCAGAGCACCAAGCCCAAGGCAGGACGAGATCCAGCTGGTGCCACCACGTCTAAAGTGGGACGGGATTCAGCTGGTACCAACAGGTCCAAGGCAGGATGGGATCCTGCTGGCACCAACAGGTCCAAGGAAGGACGGTATCCAGTGGGAACCAACAGGTCCAAAACAGGATGGAATCCAGCTGGCACCAACAGTTCCAAAGTAAGATGGGATCCAGTTGGCACCAACAGGTCCAAGGAAGGACGATATCCAGTGGGAAGCAACAGGTCCAAGGCAGGATGGAATCCAGTTGGCACCAACAGGTCCAAGGCAGGATGGAATCTAGCTGGCACCAACAGGTCCAAGGCAGGATGGAATCCAGTTGGCACCAATAGGTCCAAGGCAGGATGGAATCCAGTTGGCACCAACAGGTCCAAGGCAGGATGGAATCCAGTTGGCACCAATAGGTCCAAGGCAGGATGGAATCCAGTTGGCACCAATAGGTCCAAGGCAGGATGGAATCTAGCTGGCACCAACAGGTCCAGGGAAGGACAGTATCCAGTGGGAACCAATAGTTCCAAAGCAAGATGGGATCCAGTTGGCACCAACAGGTCCAAGGCAGGATGGAATCTAGTTGGCAGCAACAGGTCCAAGGCAGGACGAGATCCAGTTGGTACTGTCCGCATCACCCAGCCCAAAGCAGAGTGGGATCCAACCAGTGTCATACGGATCACCCAGCCCAAATCTGGACAGATTCAGGCAGGTGCCAACCAGACCAGCAGGAAACCACCAGGACAGCGTTTGGTTGGGACCATGAAAGGTACCAAGCTCAAGGCAGGGCAGGATCCAGTTGGTGCCACCCAACTGCGAATGGGGCAGGATGTGGCAGTTACCATCCAGGTCACCCAGCGGCCAACAGAACGGGATCCTGTTGATACCACTCAAACCAAAGTGGGGAAGGATCTGGTTGGTACCACACAAGGAACCATGCCCAAAGCAAGGCAGGACTTGGCCCCCACCATGGTGGTCCCAGCAGGTGATACCATGTGGAGTAACCAGAACCTGGGAGACCCAGGTTCTGAAGGTACCATGAAGAGTACACGTCCTCCAGCAGAACTGGATGCAGATGGTAACAAATGGACAACACTTTCTTCAGCAGATTTTGGTCTAGATGATATCCTGAGGAGCACACATCCTACAGAAGAACCAGGTCCCAAAGGTACCATGAATAGTACGCATCCTGCAGCAGAACCAGGTCCAGATGATACCCTGAGGAGGACACATCCTGCAGCAGAACTGAGTCCAGATGTTACCACATGGAGCACACGTCCTGCAGCAGAACCAGGTCCTGAAGGTACCATGAGTAGTACGCATCCTTCAGTGGGCCTGAACCCAGATGGTACCACATGGAGCACACGTCCTGCAGCCCAACTAGGTCCACAAGAAGGTACCACAGGGAGCACACGTCCTGCAGCAGAACTGGACTCAGATGGTACCACGAGGAGCACACGTCCTACAGCAAAACCAGGTGCAAATAGTACCATGATGAGCACACATCCTCCAGCAGAACCAGGTCCTGAAGGTACTGTGAGTAGTACCCATCCTTCAGTGGGCCTGGACCCAGGTGATACCACATGGAGCACACATCCTGCAGCTCAACCAGGTCCAGATGGTACCATGAGTAGTACACATCCTCCAGCAGAACTGGGTCCAAATGGTACTATGAGAAGCACACATCCCACAGCAGAACCAGGTCCAGATGGTACCATGATAAGCACACGTCCTCAAGCACATCTGGATCCAGATGGTACCATGAGGAGCACACATTCTGCAGCAGAACTGGATCCAGATGGTACCACATGGAGCACACATCCTGCAGCAGAACTGGATCCAGATGGTACCATGATGAGCACATGTCCTCCAGCACATCTGGATCCAGATGGTACTAAGAAAGGAATTTATTGGAAGAAATTTTCAGGAAAAAGATTAAATGTCAGAGGGCTGGGGTGGGTAGAAGGACAGTAGAGAATTAGGCATGGACAGACTGAGAGGCGCAGGGTCAACTGATTGAACAGAAAGATGGAGGCAGGGAAGGACAGATACTTAGAAGAAAAGGATTGATGGCTGGGTGGCAAGGAAGGATTTGTGGGAGAATGGATGCAGGGATGGCAAGGAAAGAGGTATGTGTGGGTGGGTGAATGGACAGCTGGGTGAGTGGATGGATGGATGGATGGATGGATGGATGGATGGATGGATGGATGGATGGATGGATGGATGGATGGATGGATGGATGGATGGATGGATGGATGGATGGATGGGTGGATGGATGGATGGAGGGATGGGTGGGTGGATGGATGGAGGGATGGGTGGGTGGATGGAGGGATGGGTGGGTGGGTGGATGGATGGATGGATGGATGGATGGATGGATGGATGGATGGATGGATGGATGGATGGATGGATGGAGGGATGGATGGATGGATGGATGGATGGAGGGAGGGATGGGTGGATGGATGGGTGGATGGAGGGATGGAGGGATGGGTGTGTGGGTGGATGGATGGAGGGATGGATGTGTGGGTGGATGGATGGATGGAGGGAAGGATGGGTGGATGGGTGGATGGATGGGTGGATGGGTGTTCTTCACCCAGCACCCAGGGCAGGGGGCCTGGAGAGTTTTGCAGGGACTCACAGACCTCTTGTGTCCCTTCCCTCCCCAGGTGCAGATCCAGACCCAGGCCTTGCTGGGGTCTCTGCACCCCCCACAGAGCCCCCACCACCCCCTTCATCACAGAACCCCATCCTGATGCCAGCAGCCACCCCTGCCCTTGCAGTCCAACTGGCTCTAGGCTCTGGCATCCCCCGTCAGTGTCCCCCAGAGCCTGACAGCACCCAGAGCCCCCCACTACTCACCCAATCCCCCACGGAGATCCCCACCACCCAGAGCCCCTCAGCACCCAAAGCCCCCCAGCACCCCAAGGAGACCCCGAGTCCACAGAGCCTCTCAGTGCTAACTCAGCACCTCATGGAGCCCACAAGCACCCATAGGCCCCCAGCACCCACCCTGCACCTCATGGAGACCCCCAGCTCCCAGGTACCCCCAGCCTCCACTCAGCACCCCATGGAGGCCCTCAGCACGCAGAGCCCCCCAGCACCCCCTCAGTCCCCCATGGAACCCATGTTAATCCCTGGTACACAAATACTCTCAGCACTCCCTCAGCGCTCCACAGGGACCCTCAGCACACAGACCCCCACAGAATCCCCTCAGCACCCCATGGAGCCCCTCAGCACCTTGACCCCCCCAGCACCCTCCCAGCCCGCCATGGATCCCTTCAGCTCCCAGGCCCCCCCAGCACTCTCCCAGCCTCCCACAGAGCCCCTCAGCTCCCAGGCCCCCCCAGCACCCCTACAGCACCCCATGGAGCCCCTCAGCACCTTGACCCCCCCAGCACCCCCCCAGCCTCCCACAGAGCCCCTCAGCATCCAGAGTCCCCCAGCACCCGCCCAGCACCCCACGGAGACCCTCAGCTCCCAGAGCCCCCCAGCACACCCCCCACCCCCCATGGAGCCCCTCAGCTCCCAGACCCTCCCAGCACCCCCCCAGCCTTCCACAGAGCCCCTCATCACCCAGAGCCCCACAGCACCACCCCCACCCCCCATGGATCCCCTCAGCACCCAGACCCTCCCAGCAGCCCCCCATCCCTCCACGGAGCCCCTCATCACCCAGAGCCCCACAGCACCACCCCTCCACCCCATGGAGCCCCTCAGCACCTTGACCCCCCCAGCACCCCCCCAGCACCCCACAGAGCCCCTCAGCACCCAGACCCTCCCAGCAGCCCCCCAGCCCTCCACGGAGCCCCTCAGCACCCAGACCCCCCCAGCACCCCCCCAGCACCCCACAGAGCCCCTCAGCACCCAGACCCCCCCAGCACCCCCCCAGCACCCCACAGAGCCCCTCAGCACCCAGACCCTCCCAGCACCCACCCAGCCCTCCACGGAGCCCCTCAGCTCCCAGAGCCCCCCAGCACCACCCCAGCACTCCACGGAGACTCTCATCTCCCAGAGCCCCCCAGCACACCCCCCACCCCCCATGGATCCCCTCAGCACCCAGACCCTCCCAGCACCCCCCCAGCCCTCCACGGAGCCACTCAGCATCCAGAGCCCCACAGCACCACCCCAGCAACCCATGGAGCCCCTCAGCGCTCTCAGCCCCCCAGCACCCCCTTCACCCCCCATAGAGCCCCTCAGCACCCAGACCCCCCAGCCCTCCACGGAGCCCCTCAGCTCCCAGAGCCCCCCAGCACCACCCCAGCACCCCACGGAGCCCCTCAGTTCCCAGATTCCCCCAGAACCCCCCCAGCACCCCACGGAGCCCCTCAGTTCCCAGAGCCCCCCAGAACCCCCCCAGCACCCCACGGAGCCTCTCAGCTCCCAGAGACCCCCAGCACTCCCTCCACCCCCCATGGAGCCCCTTGGCACCCATCCTGCCCACACCCCGACGACAGACCCCATGCTTTCTGGGGCCCCATGTGCAGGTAAGCCTGGGGTGGGGAGCACAGTGACAGGGGGATGTCCTGCCAGTGGACCCCCAATTCCTGCGGTGACCACCCCTGGCATCCCAAGGTGCTGGGGCACAATGGGGGTGGGTACTGGTGGTGGGGGGGGAATGCAGGGCCCCCTCTGCACCCCAAATTCTGGAGGGGGGTGTTATTTGAGGGGGGATACATTTGAGGAGAGGGGGAATTTCTCGTGGCTGTGCTTTAGGTGGGGGGTTCTATATCTCACCCCACAGGTCCAGCTCTACCAGCAGTGCCAGTGGCCAGCCCCAGAGCTGGGGAGCAGTGGGGAGGGGGGGCAGGCAGCTGCCCCCCCTGCCCAGCCCCCCAGCTGCAGGCCCTTCTGCAGGAGGTGCAGGGGCTGCGGGGGGACCTGCAGGCGCTGACCTTGACCCTTCAGCACCTCCTACGGGGCTTTTCGGGGATCCCTCCTGCCACCGGCTCTCAGCCATGATGGGGTTGTGAACCCTCCCCCCCCAACTGGGTGACTTGGAGGTGGGGGGGGGGCTGCTGTGACCTCCAGATGAGATAAAGTGGGGCTGGACAGCCCCCCCCCCCCCAAGCCTCATCCCCCAATCCTGGAGCTTCTTGATGTTGTGGTGGTGGTGGTATGGGGAGCATCGTTTTGGGGAAGGGGATGGGTGGATCAGCCCCACCTCGGGCCCATCCTTGAGGGTGGTGGTGGGAGTGTGACCTGGGGAGGGGGCGCAGGCAGTGGAGCCCCTTCTTTGGGTGTGGGAGGGGCGGGCCTGATCCTGACCCCCCCATCCTGTGACCCCATCTCTGCCAGCCCCACGGTGCCAGGCTGTCTTTCTCAGCGTTTCCCCATGGCACTTTCGCTTCCCCCCCACACCCTCCCCTTCCTGCACCCCCAAGGCCCTCCCTGGAGGGAGCTTTAAAAGAGGGGGGGCCCTGGGAGGAGGGGCCCAGGCAGCTGCAGCATGGGGGGGCTGGTTGGCCTCGTTCTGTGCCTCGGTGACGGACTGGGGTTCCTGGCGGGGGGGGGTGTCAGGGGCTTGGGGGGCCACAGGGCTGAGGGTGCACTTGGGGGGCACAGATCTGGGGGTGCACTTGGAGTGTGTGTTGGGAGTTTTACTGGGGTAGGCAGGGTGTGGGGTGTCTTGGGAGTCAGTGGGGTGTTGGTGGCATGGGGTATCTGTGGGGTGTGTGCTGGGTGTCAGTGGGGCATGGGTGGTGTGGGGGTGTCCTTGGAGGGGTGTGTTGGGGATCAATGGGGTGTGGGGTGTGAGGGGTCACTCAGGTGTGGGAGGGTGTCCATGGGGTGTGTGTTGGGGGGGTCAGTGGGATGTGGGGGTGTCCATGGGGTGTGTGTTGGGGGTCAGTGGGTTGTGGGGGTGTCTGTGGGGTGGGGGCTGGGTTCCTACTCCCGGATGTTCCCTCTCTCCCCCCAGTTCTGTGCTGCAGCGGCGCGGCCGGATCCGATACATTGGGCATCCCCTGGTTGTCCCCCTCGTTGTCCCCCTGGTGACCCCAGTGTCCCCTAAGTGTCCTTTGGGGTCCTCCCCTTGGTGTCTCCAGGTGACCTTGGTGTCCCCCTGGTGACACCTGGGGGGCCATGGGGCCAGCAACCACAGGATGTGGCAGGCACTGGGGCATGGACCACGTGTAGGAGGGCTGTTAGTGGCAGACTGGGTTTGTACTAGGTGGACTGGGTTTGTGCTGGGCAGACTGGGGCTGTACTGGTCACACTGGTGCCATATACCTTCTGCCCCCCCGCTACCACAGGGGTGACAGCCCGGCTGTGGGGCAGCCGCTCACACTGCGCTGGGCACCTGCAGCTCCAATCTGGGGGGATGTGGGGCTCGGTTTGCGCCGAGGGCTGGGACCAGGCGGCCTCCCGGGTGCTGTGCCGCCAGCTGGGCTGCGGCCGCCCGCGCCTCGTCCCGGCACCCTGCAGCCCTGAGGCAGCCGGAGCTTCCCCCGCGGTGCTGCAGCGGGTGCAGTGCACCGGGCAGGAGCCGACCCTGGAGCACTGCGACCTCCAGCCAGGGCACCCATCGTCCTGTCCCACAGATTGGGTGGCCACCGTCGAGTGTGAGGGTGAGCGTGCTGTGGGGTGAGGCTACCCTCGGTGAGGGGGGGGTGGTCCCACAGGGCTGGCATCACGCCGGTGTCCCCACGCAGAACCCTTCCAGCTGCGGTCGGTGGGTGGCCCTGGGCGCTGCGCCGGGCGGTTGGAGGTGAACCGTGCCGGGCAGTGGGGCACGGTCTGTGATGACGGCTGGAGCGGGACCAACTCAGCGGTGGTTTGCCGGGAGCTGGGCTGCGGGGCGGCAGGGAAAGTCGGTGACCTGCCACGGGGATGACCCCGCTTCGGGCCTGGTGCTGGGCGCATCTGGCTGGATGACGTCCGCTGCCGGGGTCAGGAGTGGACCCTGCGGGACTGTGCCCACCGTGCCTGGGGACACCACGACTGCACCCACCAGGAGGACATCGGCGTGGTCTGCCAGGTCTGGGACCACCCCCCCCCACCACCACCGTGGGACACCCAGGGTGGCCTGGCAGGGCAGGATCAAGCCATAGTCCCTTTTGTCCTCGCAGGATGCCTGAGTGCTGCAGCTCTGCCCCCGGACAGCCCCCAGTCTCAACAGCCACCCTGTCCCCCTGCTGAGCATCCCTCCTGCATCACTCCCCAGGCAGCCTCTGGCCCCATGGGGGACCCCACGCACAGCACCCCCCAGGAGGCCGTGGGTGGCAGCTGGGGGCCCTGCGCCAGTCCCTCGTCCCCCTGCCCCGTCATTAAATGTGGAGAACTGAGCCTCTGCCTGCACCATGCCTGTGCCCAGGGACGTGGGCGCAGCCGTGGCCATGCTGTGGGGCAGCGGTGGGGTGAGCGCAGGGGCCTGGCTGTCCCAGGTGTGGGGCTGGGCTGAGCCTGGCCCCTTGCCCATGGTCCCCGTGTCCCTCCCGTCCTCCCCCCCCGCCGTGGCCTCTCGACCCTGTTATGAAACAGCTTGTTAACGCTAATCCTGCAGCCACCTGTCCTGCTCCCAGCACCCTACCCACCCTGGCAGAGGGGACCTGCCCACAGCTCTGCCCCACGGCGTGGGGCAGGGGCCAGGCCGGGGCAGATGGGGCAGCAGGGCAGGAAGGGGGGGGTGGGTTTGGGGGCAGGGTGTGGAGCAGTGGGATTTAGGGGTGAAGGAGGGCAGAGAAAGGGGCAATGGGGGCCAGGGCGTGCAGAGGGGCAGGGTGTGGGGTGATAGGAACCGGGGGGGCAGAGGGTGTCCATGGAGTGGGGCCAGGGGCTGCAGAGGGGCAGGGTGTGTAGCAGTGGAACCTATGGGTGCAGAGGGGCAGGCAGTGGAGCAATAGGGGCCAGAGGGGCAGGGTGTGGGGCAGTATGACACCAAGGGGGCACATCCCTCCCTGTGATGACAGAAGGGGGACAGGGGGATGCAGTCAAGGGCAGCGAGGATGGGGGGCTGTGGGGTGGTGGCCTGTGGGGCTCAGCACTGGGCTGTGCACTCCCCCCGGCCCTGGGGACGAGGACGGGGACAAGCTGGTGCCACCTGGCCCGGCTGCCCGCCCGGCTATTTCGGTGCCCCCGCAGCTGTCCGTCCCTCCGCCCCCGCGGCCCTGCCACCACACTCCCTCCCACGCTCTCGGGACACCAGCCAGCAAAGGGCCCCCCCTCCCCGGGGCAGGGGACGGTCAGGGACAGGGACAGGCGCCTGCATCCTCCACATGCCACTGAGGCCGGAGACGTGCCAGCGAGGCTGGATGGCCAGACCTTGGGGATGGTCCCCAGGGGGACAGAAGCGGGTCACAGCCCCCTGATTCCTGCCCCATGGTGGTGGTTGGGGGGTCCCCCCTGGGAGCAGCCCCTGTTCCCTGCGTGGGTAATGGAGCAGGGTGGGGGGGTGGGGGGGGGCTACCTCCCCCCCATCGGCCGCCTGCCAAGCTGGTCCCACTAATGTGCTGTCAAGTATTAATTACCTTCCAGCAGGGCCGGGGTCAGGGCCTGGTGTGCAGGTGGGATGAGGGGAAAGAGCAGGTGGGGAGGGAGAGGGTGGGATATACCCTGGGAAGTGGGGAGAGGGAGGCAGCCATGGGAAGTGGCGGGAGGGAGATGGTTGTAGGAGATGGAGGGGTGATGGTTGAGGGAACTGGGGAGAGGGAGATGCTCATGGGAATGGGGGAGAGGGAGATGGCCATGGGAAATGGGGAGTGGGACAGGTGTAATTGTGGAAAATAGATAGAGATGGTCATGTGAAGTGGGGAGAGGGAGGGAGATGGTCCTGGGAGATGGGGAGAGGGAAGGGTATGGCACTGAAAACAGAGAGAGGGAGGGATCCAGCCCGGGAACTGGGGGAGAAGAAGGATGCTGGGGCAGGCACAGCCATCAGCACACGCAGAGGGATGATCAGGGTGCCCCAACCCTCATGCTCTGTGGTCCCCCCACTCCAACTTGGGGAGACCCCCCCCCCAGCATCCCCAGCTCTGTGCCACCCCCACACCCCCCCGGCTGCACCCCCATGGCCAACGGCCACATTTCGGCACAGCCGGTACTTCCTTGGCAGGACAGAGGGTGCGTGTGCGGCCAGCCGGGCTCTGCCAGCCCCATCCCAAAATAGACCCCCAAGGAACGCGCCCCGCCGAGGGGGCCCAGATGTGAGTCAGAGCGGGGGGGGGGGGGGGGGGGCGAGACAACGGGGGATGGCGGGGACATGGAGTGGGGGTGGCGTGGCTGGGGACACTGTGGACGGTGGCAAAGGGGGCTTGGCATGGGGACGGCGTGGGACCCCATGGGATGATGCCTTAGTCCTGGGGATCACTGCAGGCCAGCAACCAGGGCTGGTGTCATGTCCCCCCCGTCCCCATACTATCCTGCCCCGCATCTGGGGGTCTGGTGCCCACAGCTTGCTCCCAGTCCCTGCCCCACACCCCCGTGAGAGCCAGCTGGCATGTAGGTGGGTGAAGCTGGAACTGTGAGATGCTGCATGACTCGAGGGGACGTGACAAAACAGATCCCCCCTCCCCATCTTCTTCAGGGAAAACTGAGGCAGGTGGAGGAATGCCTGCGACTTGCTGCATCCTCCCGGGATGCCACCGCAGAGGGATGAGGGGTCGTGGCCAGGCTGGGGCTGGGGCTGTGCTGGGCCAGGGGGGGAAAGAGGGGGGGACTGTGGCAATGGTGGGGGTTCAGGTGACGTGTGGTTGTGTTATATCTGGGAGGTGTCACTAGTGGAAGGTGTCCCTGCCCGTGGCAGGAGGGTTGAAACTGACTATTTAAGGTCCCTTCCAACCCAAACCACTCTATGATTCCATGATTGCTGGGCTGTGTCCTGGCACAACCGGACTGTCATGATGTGGTCAGTCTGTGTCATGGCATGACTGAGCTGTATCATGGCATGGTTAGAGTTGTGTTGTGGGATGACGCTGTGATGGCATTGCGTGGGGGACAGGCAGACAGGATGGGGCTGGGCACAGGGGGACAGACAGGGCATTGCACACGGGGACAGATATATGTCAAGGAGCATGGCTTGGCGAAGCAGAGCAGCTTGGTCTGATGGAGTGGCAGCACTGTGGGGAAGGACAGACGGACAGGATGGAGCATTGCATGTGTGGTCAAACAGAGGTGGTGTGGGGCAGCTGTGACAGAGGACTCGGCATGGACAGACAGCATGATGTATGGCAGGGGGATGGACAGACAGCACAGGCAAGGTCAGCCAAGATAAGAAGCTAGGTGTGCGTGGACAGATGGACCAAGTGCTGTGTGACATGGAGGGAGGGATGGATGGATGGGTGGATGGATGGATGGATGGATGGATGGATGGATGGATGGATGGATGGATGGATGGATGGATGGATGGATGGATGGACGGACGGACAGTGTGAAGGACAGCTTGCAGGGACTGATGGACAAAGCATGGTGCTGGGGACAGACTCTCTCTCTGGGTGGACAAGCAACATAGGGACAGACAGACAGTGCAGAGCAGATGCTAAGGAACAGCCAGGAGGCCTGCACTTTGCTTCCCCACCCTGCATTGGGTGCACTGAGCCTGCTGGGCTCAGCACAGCTCATCCCCCATCCCCAGCTCCATCCTGTCCATCTGTCCCCCCAAGCAGTGCTCTGTCTTTCCCCTCTTCCCAAGCTCCATCCTGTCCATCTCTCCCCACATCCCAAGCTTCACCCTGTCTTTCTGTCCCCATATTCATTACCCTGTCTGTCCCTCCATCCTCAGCTCCCTCCTGTACTGTCTCTCCCCCATCTCCAAATCTCTGTCCGTCTGTTCCCCATCCCCAGATCTATCCTGTCTGTCTGTCCCCCCATGCAATGTCCTGCCTGTCCTGCCTCCTGACTATCTTTGGCCCTCGGCACGCATTGGGACTGACACATGTTCCCTGCGTGCGAGCGGCAGAGATTAGCGCGGGCTGGCAGCATGGGAGCAGGCAGGAAAGTCTGAGTCACAGCTCCTGGTGCCGGGGGCAGCTGTGGGGCTGGGGGCACCCAGCCGTGCCCCGGGAGCACCCGACCCTTCTGGGACACACGGCGGGGGACACAGGTGAGGCACGCACTGCTCCTGGGCTGCTCTGCTGTCCCCGTGCAACCCCGAGGGACACTCGACCCTGCCTTCTGCTTCTGGCTTGCTTGCATGGCCCTCTTGGCTCAGCCCCACGGCAGTGGGGGGGTGCATGGTGGTGGGACAGGCTGGTTGTGCCAGCCCTGCACACCTGGAGGTGCCGGTGGTGGCAGTGACCTTGCTGCGGCTGTGCCGGTGCAGGTGGTGGGATGGGAGAAGGGTCCGTGGTACTGCTTCAGGGCTAGGGATGGAGGAGCACGGAGTCATCCCTGACCCCTTGCAAAGCGGGGGATGTGGGTGGAGAGAGGGAGCTCTGATTGCTGCTGTGGGGCAATGTGGGCTGCGATGCACAGCTGCCTGTCCCTCCTCCAGGAGGTTACAGGGCTCTTTGCCTCTCCTCTGGGGTGTGATGTGGGTCTGACCCTCCCTCCTAGATGAGAAGATGGGAACTGAATGGCGTGAGCATCCTAGCTCCCCATGGCCCCATCAGCACCACTGGACAGGGGCATTTTGGGGTCCCCATTACCTCTTGGCATGGGGCTGCACCTTCCCACCAGCCAGGACCCCCATGCCTGTGCAGCGCCTGGGGGAGAGGGGCAGGACTTGATCCCGGCCAGGAATACTGTAGGGAGAGCCCCAGGGGTAGGACTGGGCTGTACTGGGATTGACCGTGCTGGGTCAGGCTGGGCTAAACTGGGCTGGACAGAGTTGGACTGGGCTGGACTAGAGAAGACTGGACCAGGCTTGTCTGGGCTTCACTAGACTGGGAAGGGACAGACTGGATTGGGCTTGGGTGAGCTGGACTGAATTGAACTGGACTAGACTGGGATGCTTCAGACCAGGTTGGTCTGGGCTTCACTAGGCTGAGCTGGGCTAAACTGGACTGGACCAGACTAGACTGGGCTGCACTGGGCTGTCCCGACTGGGTGCCCTGGGACTGTAAGGCTGGTGCCGCTACCATCTCCCCATGCAAGGGGCTGGGGACAGTGGGGCTTTGCAGCAGCATGAGGGGCTTGGCTGTCCCCAGGGCCCATGGAGGAGTCGGATGAGGACGGAGAGGACAACGAGGAGTTCCTGGAGCGGCTGATGGCACAGACCGGCCGAGAGATGCCGCAGCGGGAGCTGGAAGAGCACTACACCGTGCTGGAGGAGCTGGGCAGCGGGACCTATGGCCGCGTGGTGCTGACGGAGCCCCTGGACGGTGGTGAGGGGTGCTGGGGGGCGGGGAGGGCGACCCTGCTGCTGACTGCAGGAACCTGCCCCCCAGATGTGCACGGATGCACACAGCCCCACCGCTGCGCCCGACCCACCCGAACCAAACCCCGGCTCTGCCCAATCCACCCCTGTCTCTGCCCCACTGCGGTGTCCCAGCTGGTGCTGACCCCTCTTCGGCTCCCCCCACATTTCCCAGGCTCACCGGTGGTCCTCAAGCTGATGTTGAAGGAGCGGACGCCGCGGCGAGCATTCCTGCGGGAGTACTGCATCGCCCTGTGTCTCTCCAGCCATGCCGCCTGCCTGCGCGCCCTGCCCGTCGCCTTCGAGAGCACCACGCACTTTGCTTTCGGGCAGGAGCTTGCTCCCGCTGGGGACCTGTGTGCCCTCCTCAACCCGGGGGTGTGTTGCTGCCCCGGGGCTCTGTGGGAGGGAGAGTGGGGGGTCAGGAGGGGTGGGAGGGTGGAGGAGGGGGTGGCGGGACAGCTTTGCAGTGGGTGCAAGTGACGCTGTGTGCGGTGGGGTGCACAGTCATGCTTTTTGTGGGGACACCCTTTGCCGTGGGGTGCAGTGATAATGTGTGCAGTGAGATCCTTTGCAGGGAGCACCCACTCAAGCTGAGTGGGCAGATCCTTTGCCGTGGGGGTGCATGCCCACACCGTGCATGGAGAGACCCTTTGCGGTGGGTGCAGTGACACTGTGTGTGGGGACACCCTTTGCAGTGTCACGCTTTTTGTGTGGAGACCTTTTGCAGTGTGTGCAGTGGTGCTGTGCATGGTGGGAGACCCTTTGCAGTGGGGCTCAGTGACACTGTGTGTGTGGGGAGACCCCTTGCAGCGAGCTCCTACTCACAGCGTGCACGCAGACCCTGTGCCGTGGGGTGCATGCCCACACTGTGCATGGCGAGAGACCTTTTGCAGTGGGTGCAGTGACACCACACACAGCAGGAGACCCTTGCAGTGGGGTGCGGTGGTATCATGCACGGGAGGACACCCTTGCAGTGGGGTGCACGTTCATGCAATGTGTGGGGAGTCCCTTTGCAGTGCAGGCATGTGGCTGCAGGTTGCTGTGAGGCAAAGCACAGGTCAGGGGTGCCGGGTGGGGGTCTGGGTGCTGCAGCAGTCCCTCTGGGGAGGCGGCTGTGTGGCAGGAGCTGGTGCCGCTCTGCCTGCAGGAGGGCCTGCCGGAGGAGCTGGTGAAGCGCTGCGCGTCCCAGCTGGCTGAGGCACTGGACTTCATGCACAGCCGTGCCCTGGTGCACCGGGACGTCAAGCTGGACAACGTGCTGCTCTTCGACCGCGAGTGCCGGCGGGTGAAGCTGGGTGACTTCGGGCTCACCCGTGTGCAGGGCTCGGCAGTGGGTGCTATGTCTGGCACCCTGCCCTACGCCCCACCAGAGCTCTGCCTTCTCCAAGGCTCTGACACGCTGGAGCTGGACTCCAGCCTGGATGCCTGGGCCTTTGCCATCCTCCTCTTCTGCCTCTGCACAGGCTGCTTCCCCTGGGCTGTGGCCACCAGCTCCGACCCCCAGTTTGAGGACTTCAGCACCTGGCAGGGCGGCACCGTAGGGCGGGGGGTACCAGCATCCTGGCAAGGCTTCAGCTCTGGCGCACTGGAGATGCTCCGGCGCCTGTTGACACTGGACCCCGACCGCCGGAGCCCAGCCATCGAGGTGCAGAAATACCTGTCCCTGCCCTGGGTGATGGCTCCCAGTGCCGGGGAGCCAGTGCCAAGCAGCTCCCAGTCCCCCTTTACCAGCAGCACAGGGGAGAGCCCAGGGGGGACTGGGGGACAGGATGCTGCTGGTGGGGGAGACGGGGTTCCTGTGCCCCCCACTAACACCCTGGCCCCGTGCCGGTAGCCAGCACCTCCCCTCCATCCCGGGGCTGGTCTCACAGCAGATGGTCCCCAGGGGTCTGGGCTCCCTCTCTGATGCCTGAGGCTTGTGGAGGTTGCAAGCGTGGGAAGGAGAAGAGATGCCTTGGACAGCACATGTAGGCTCCAGCCCTGCAGCTGGACGCCCAGCACCTTGCAAATCAATGTCACTCGGCAGTGGTGACAACAGTCCACTCAAGCACCGGTTGCCCAGCTCTGAGATGCACAAGGGAAACTGAAGGCAGAAGCAGCCCATGGGATGACAGGGAGACACAGGAGGAGAGCAATTCATTAGATACTAAACCTGTTAGGGCTGATGCAAGATCTCTGCAGAGTCAGATGGTGAAACTACTCTGCAGTGAAACCCATGAACGTGTCTGACCTTGACCTCCTTCCTGCACCTTAGGGATGAGGAGGTTGTCACAGACTGCTGTTAATTATGGAAGATGCTAACCAGCCTCCTGGGGGTTAACTGCTGTAATTAGGGAAGATGCTAAACAGCCTCGTGGGGGTTAAGGAGCAGGGGAAACAAGCATAAGTCCTCAAGGCATGCAGTTGAATCAGGGGTGTGCTGGGGCTGTGAGGAGCTGCCAGGTGGATCTCTAGGACTTGAGTTAAAACTGGTCAAACCTGGGATCTGGCTGTCTAAGCAACACAACGGACAGGGAGCTTTGCACCCTTAAGGGCTGGACGTGGGTTGGTTAATAGTCCAAAAGGCACAGTGAGAGAGCACATTGGGATGGCTCTGGGTGTGCAGGAGGGGACACACATGAAAATCGGCTTCAATGGTTGCAGATATTCTCCATTTCCAGCACAAAAGGGACTGGGCAGAATCCGGAGAGGAGTTTGTGGGGTGAGCTCATGGTTTGGAGGCTGGACAAACACCTGCCCAGGCTCAACCAGCCATCTGGTCCCTGCTGGCTTTCCCACTGGGACTGCTGGCAGCTAGGAGGAGAGCAGTGGGGTCCCACAAGCTTTGGCACCTAACCTTGGTGCCACACCATGTGCGGGCAGGGCTCTGCTCTCCTGTCCAGCCTGGGGCTCTCCTGCACCCCTTTGAGCAGTCTGCACCTCTGTTTTGGGACATGAGGCTTCTGGAACCTCTGCCTGGGCCCCCCACACACTCTGACTGGGAAGCCCCTGCCCACCACCCCCCCGGGGAACCCCAAAAGGCTGAGGGACACTGTGCTCTGCCGTCGGCAGAGGATCCATCTCCTGCATCACCAACCCTGGTGCAAAGTGGAAGGGGAGCAGGCAAATTAGCTGAGATGCTGAATCTTAATAAAATTATCTGTTGTTTTGCCTTTTTTTTTTTTTTTTTTTTTTTTTAATAAAAAACCCACTGTGTTTTCCCACTTAGGGCTGCTTGAGCCCTAAACCCTGCTTTTTCTCCTTCTTGGGGGTAGGCAGGCTCTGAGCAAAGAGGGTCCAGCCCCCCCACCCCTCCATGGTGGTAAGAAGTTTTCAGAGAGGGGAGGGCACACAGGCAGCTCGGAAGCATGCCGAAAGCCTGGCTTTGGCAACATGGAACCTCTTCCTCTGTGGCTGCCCCCCTGAATTGCAGCCTGGGATGCTTGACCCAGGGGTGGCAATGCCAGACTGGATGGTGGTGCTCCCTGTAGCTGGGGGTGGAAAACTCCCCCACCCTGGAGGAACTGTCTCACAGGTGGGGTCCTGCAGCCTGTTGCTGAATTTCTCCTGAGCCACATGGTTTTCCAGGCAAGAAAAACCTCCCCAGCACAGCGCCAGCATGCATGCCATGGAGCTTCCTCCAAAGGAAAGAATGCTTCATGGAAAATGTGTGGGGTAATGCTCACAACAAGCAGCTCGATCCGCTGTCCACTCTAGCCCTCAGTCAAGATTCCCAGTGGCTGTGGAGAGCTGGGCCAGTAAAACCAGACAGGGTGGTCCAGAGATGCTGCTGGCTGAATGGCAAAGGGGGCATCATGTGAGGGACAGCCAAGCTCCCAGGATGATTTCAAGGAGGGTCTTGGGGACTTTATGAGGGAGTGCAATATTGCAGCAGCCACCTGATATCAGTGCAGCTGGACCTGCAACGGAAAAAGCTTTGGCTGCATCTATGGGGCCAGGATGGGAGAAACCTCCTGGTCTGAGTCCACCAATCTCACCTCTAGGGTACCAGGAAGGAGAAATCCCTTGGGGTCTCAAGATCTGCAGGATTTTGCTACTTATTAATAGGTAAACCCTCACATCTCCACTCCCCAACATCATGGTGCTGTGGTGGGGACACACTGCAAGAACCTTGGGCTGGTGGCTGGCACAACCGCTTACTGAGATATCCAGAAATGATGCTCATGGGCGCGTACCAAATCAGACATATAGCATCTGGGTGTATCCAGCAGATGCACCAAAAGCAAACCCCAAGAGCACTGTTGAGGGGTGGCCCCCCAACCAAGCTGAAGCATCATCACATCACCTCTACCCTCCTCTTCCCGGACAGGAGGTAATTTGGATACAAGACATTAGAGCAAATTGAAGGCTTAACTCGTGGGCTCTGCTGAAGAATGGGATTGCTCTTAATTCCTCTTTTGGGATGGACTTTAACAGGAAAGACAGGAAGGCCACACTGAGGGCCAGTGGCACTGGTGGAGAGCTGCAGCTACCAGGCTTTTGGCATTGCTGGGGCAGGCATGGATCAACATGAGAACAAAGCATCCCAGCTGCTCCTGTAGTCAGCAGAGCTCCCCGCGGGCTCTTGGAGAGTCTCAGGGGCCATTCATGGCTTGTATCGACCTACAACTCTTGTGTAGGTCAACCTTGCAATGCCTGCCTTGGTCTGAAGATGGTGCGGCACTTCTCAGCTAAAAGGCCAGATGCAGAGGAAAATGCTTAGGACAGACCACCAGTTTCCAGGACTGGGGAGACTAAAACCCCTCATTTCTGTTTGCATTTCTTAAAACCTACCAAAAATGAGAGGTTTGCACTTAGAAGAGGTTCCAGAAATCCCAGCTCATCAAACATCCAATTGATGGTCCAGATCTGTTGGCATTGACACCAAGGACTCTTCCTGGGACCTGTGCAAAACCCAGCAAGAAACAGTCAAAGCTGTTTATTGGCTTTTTTGTTTGTTTGTTTGTTTGTTTGTTTGTTTGTTTGTTTGTTTGTTTGTTTTTAAACTCTGCTTTTCTGAGAAATGGAAATTACTTACACGGTTTGCCATTGTGGGCAGATCCAGGGTTGCAGAGATGTGGTTTTAATCCCTATAATTTATTCGGTGATATAAAACATAGGTTACTGTCAGGGCCAGTGACTTAATCTCATTTCTCTTGATTATTTTTGATTAATTGGTATTTCTCCTCAGCTGACTCTCTCCTCAAATAATGATATAAGTGACAGAGAAAAAATAGCATAATGCTCCCTATAAATTGGAGATTTTTCTTGAGAATCTTAGCAGGTTACTGCAAAATCCTAAAATTATGTTAAGGATCTGGCAGTTGAGGAATTCAGGATCACTTTATTTATTTATTAAGAAATGACTGCTTGTTGCATTGAAACCAAACCTTCTTTGACAGTCATGCTAGTGGTTTTCAGATTCTAAAAAACTCATTTAATTTCACCTGTGAGCCCTCCCTGAATTTAAAGCAAAGTACCTGATTATCCACAGTGACCATCAGGAATGGATTTATTTAAAAATTTAAATACTTATTAAAATAGTTATCACAATATTTATTTTAATGTGATCTTTAATCACTCACGGGGAGTTGGCGAAAGGCAGTGTCCTTTCACTGTTTCCCTCCATGAAAGGCTCCTCCAAGAAGCAATGTCCCATGGGGTGCTCAGAAAAGGACCTGCTTCGCTGCTAAGCTCCGCCATCCTCTGCAGTAATTTTGTTCAGTGAAGTTGCAAATTGCAAAGGCCAGCGCGTTCCCCTTATAGCTGCACTCTCCACCCTGTACAGTCATCTTCCTTCCACCTCTGCGCAAGACCTCAACCCATAACCAACACTTGATGAGATTTTTCTGGTTCAGACCAAGCTGATTCCTGCTTCTCCTGGCTGTCTTTCCTTGGGAAGGGCTGTACACCCACTGGGAGCTTCTGTGGGTGCACAGCTCTGACCTCCATCCCTCCTTGCAACAACCTCATCCAGCGCATGCACTCTGCTTGGCTCTGCTCTCCACGATGTAAAGTGGGTGCAGGTTTTTGGGTGCAAGAGCCAATCTCAGTGGGGTGTGGGAGGAGGGTGGGGGCAGCCCCTTAAATCTCCCATTGCAGCTCCATGACCAGACCAATGCAGGGCCAAACCCTGCTGGGACCTCTCCACAACAACTTGAGTGCAGTTACCCTTTTATTTTTATTTTCAAACCAGAAAAATCATCTCCGCACTCCATAGCAATATACAGATGTGAAAGGGAGCGGTTTCTTCATACATTTAGAGAAATAGTCCAGCTCTAGTCAGCAAAGGTGCTCAGCACTTGCTGGGGTTTCTGGGCTCCTCACCCCTAAAGTGGAGAAGGCAAACAGCCAGGAACACTCCCAGAGGCTAATCCCAGTTATTGCACACTCCTTTGATGATTTCTAGCTGAGGGATGGGACTGACCCACCCTCTCTTTTGCTTCACCACATGTTTTCATAGCGAGTAAAGGGAGAGAAAATACCCAGAGGCCTTGGCTCTTTGAGCATGGTGAAGTGCTCCGTCATACCCCACTGCACACCAGAAGCAGCTGGGGTCAAAGGACCATGCCCATGACACACACTCATTTAGGTTTCCCACTAGAAGAAAAAAAAAATGCTCATAAATGCCCCTTCTCTCCATCTCTGTCAGAATAAGTGGACCGAGGCCTTTCTGTCCTTCAAAGGAAAATCGTAGACTGGAAAAAATAGGTTTTGTCTGCTTACAGAGCTGCTTTTAGCCTCTCCAGGAATGTTGCACAAGTTCATAGGCTCAAACATGCAGCAGTGAAAGCTCCTGGTAACAAAAGAAATTTAAATCCTCGTTTCCCCTTGCATGCAGAATAAGAGAACAAC